GGGTAGTTTTATGAAAACTGGAAAGGCTTTGAATAACTTCATTAATTGTAGATGGCCTTTGATGCATACCGATGGTCGGTATTTACAAACTCAACAACGACTTGAGTGAAGTCTATCGCGACGGGGTGAGTCAACGTATGGCAACGCAAGCGTGAGGGAGATACCTGTCCACCGGGGATGTACAGGACTGCTTCGTCAATAGGTGATTTCGCACGCCTGTGTATCATAGTCAATCAAATTAAAAATTTATAATAATTTCTTAATTATTTAAGAGTAGTTCGCAAATATAACTTTTTATATAACAGAAAACAAGTGAATATACCTTTTGAGGACCTTGATAGTACGCTTTGAATTGATTTAAAACGTGGTGTGTAAATGCGATGTAACTTTCAGCACATAGCTAACTTCCAGTAGAAGTGGGGGGGACAAGGAAAGTGAATGGCAAGAGAAAGTGCTGGAAATCTAATCTATAAACTTAAAGAAAGGCTAAAGTTTTGTGTGTTTTATTTACTCTGTCTGTTGGTATGTCCAAGGATTGGACTGGTGACAACGCGACGTCAGCAGTCGTAGCGTCGCGTCGTGCGGTCGGGGCGACAGGACGACTCAATGCGACGCGATTTGTCGTTTATAAAACCTATAGTAAGCTCCTTTTAAAGACTTGAACCATCCATGTTCATTGATATTTAGATTCGATGGTTCAATTGATCTAATCTTCTCCGCAAAATATTACGAAGCTCGTTGATATTGGACACCCTTTTTCCTCAAGTGGCTTATAATGAGTTCAACCATCTGTGCGTAAGCCTACTTATTTGGTGTCCGTAATTAGGTTTAAATTGACAGTTCAGCAATGATGCATGCAAAACACGACATTTGGGCTAAAGGAATCAAAGAAATTACCACTCAGATAATGTCTGTATTATAAAATCCCTTTTCGAGTGGGGGGGGGGCTGAAAACTCCGCTTTAGAACTGTAATGTTATCAACCTGCAGGCTTCAAGATCATCAACAAGCCAAAGATATGCGCCGCTTGTGGGAATTCTGCCGAAAGGAGACACCAGTTAAATCACGTCCCCGACCCTTATCCAGCTCCGTCTTCTCCACTGCCAGGCTAGCCTGCTCCGTCTCTGCCTTTTTAAACAACCAGCCAGCACCTCCTACCAAATCCGTCAGCGCCGCCTCCCCGTTCGGAACGATATCCTTTAGCCTCGGCAGGAGCCAGGGAGGCTCCCTTGGCATGAGGTCCTTCGCCAGAATCATGACTCCTTTTACAATAATTATGTTACGAACACATTGAAGTTACACGACCTTATGCAAACCATGCGGTTGTTTACACGAACTTTCGCAAAGCAGATGTTTACCGATTATCTGCAGCGAGAGATAGGACTTCCACAACGACAGAACGACGATTAGTTTTGGTTTGTTTGTTTGTTTGTTTCAATTCTTTGTTTTACTGTAAAGTGAATAAGTTTCTTTATACTCAAGAAAATGTATTAGTATTCAAGAAAAGAAAGCAAGATGCTGAAATAAAACTATTTCAGTAATATCAATCCGCTACTGCCATATACTGTGTTCAAGTTTGACGAAAGTGCACGGTATGTGTGGCACTTATCCCAGGTTGGACGTCGTCCACAATGCATTGCGAATAACGTCCAGGGCTTAATTAAAAGTCGTCCTACAATGCAAAATTTTGTTCAACGGTTTTTTCTCACATTTTTACCTGGTGAAGACAGCTCAAATGTCGTTCCCAAGTGCATGCCTTGTATCCCGAATTCCATAAATGTTGTGTTGAAATTACTGTATTTGCCCGCAGACAACGTATTTTGTAGGAAATTTTGCGAAACTCCAAGCTTTCCGTCGCGATTCGTCGATCTACTTTCGCCTAATACGCGTACTTCCACATGCGCGGAAGAGCCGTGGGCGTGAAGAAGTCGCAGATAAGACCATGTCCGAAATGGGCTTCCAGAGCTACATTAACAACAAGGTCTGTTGTATGCGCGTGTCCACGCATTTCCAATGGAGCGAAGACCTAGACCTAGCTCTAGACAACACATCTGACAGAATGTTGGCCGAGCTTGAGGCCATTTCGCGCATGCGCAAATTCGTACTACTAGACGCACGTAGGCCGGGCTATAGATGGATTTCACATTAGCGTCGTCTGCGCACACCCGTATCGAAACCGAGGCTCTCTGTGTTTAAGTTCGTCGCGCGTACGCGAAGTCCACACGGTACATACAGTATCCGGTTCGTAAGTGTGGTGCCACTTCATTTTAACCACGCCACTGCACAAGATAAACGGCCATCGCAGGTACGTTAGTTCGCGGTAAATTAGCATTATGTTTTTCTTTTGATTTCACGTGTCGAGTCATCCTGAAAGACTCTTCCACAAAAATTTGCAGCCTGAAAAGTCTAAATTTAACATACCTTTATGTATTTTGTGTCTTAACTCCTTACTTTCAATCATCTGATCGTATTAAGAATTGAAGCTGACACATACAGCCTCGTTTTCAAACGCGGAAGTGCGCAGATCGACGCTAAAAGCGTCGTATTGGGATCCCTCTATTACACCATACGGGAAAAGGTCCATATAAGAAGTTCACTTGACACCCAGTGGTCAAATCCTATGACTCAGTATGAAACATAGGGTCATGAGACATGGTCTAAAAAATTCTAAGTCTTCATTGGATATTGCTTGAAGGCCCCATCTCTCAGTGTCACTACTAAAACAGAGGTCCCTCGTCCCGTCTGATTTTCAGTATCCACAGTTTGTGGCGTTTGTGGTCTGTTGGAAATAAATGAAAGCTTCTTTCTGGCGGAGATTTCATTTTGTTTGCAGAGCACATTGGAACTGCGCAGAGCTTCGCGGCCACCTTGAAAGTGTACCGCCCATAGCCTCGCTTTGGCTCACAAAATGTGACGTCAGCATAAATATTGAGAAATGGGTATGTTGTTTATTACTGCACTGGTCCTATTTAGTAACTGTAAGAAGAACTGCCTCATAGCCCAGCCAGCAAGGACACTAATACAGCTCGCCAAAATCGGTAATTTCGAGGACTTGAAAACGTTTACGTTTAAGGACAACACTGATCGGTGCGCGCTGCTTACACTAAGTCTTGGAGACACTGTATCCGAAGGTGGCACGGATCCTAACGATGGGCACGTCGAAATTTCACTTCTGACTTTTGTGAGTGGATTGAAGCCATATTTTGCCTATTTCACAAAATGTGAAATTTAATCAAACTCCAAATATTCTGATTTATAAATGTGGATTTCATACCCGCTACAGTTACACTGCAGTACCGATGAAATTTTATTTTGGCTCGATTTTCCGATTTTTTTTCCGAAGTACAAAATGAACTCTTTTAATTAAATGCGTTCCAAAAACCATTTTTTTTTACATTTTTAGTTTGGTGAGTGTAAGTAATGATAATGTGATGGTAAGTTTCAATTTATTCAATCATTTTTTATGTGTCATTTCATGTCTTCCTTACAGTAAAGTTTCAATAGATTGAGACCACTACCAGTTCAATAGAGTTCTCAGTGCAATTTTTTTCTCTCCTTTGCGAATATTCATTAACAGACGCATATACTTAGCATTCTTGAGCAGGGTGGGGCTCTTTTGTGTTTGGTCAGCTGGGTGTGTCAACGTTTTGACAAGTTTGCTAATTGTACCATGTAATTTTAGCGATTTAAACTTGGGAAATGCAATAATTTTTTTAGCCTTCCCATGTTCAGCATTTGCTAAGAATCTGGCGATTCCTGCGTATTTTTTCAAACGTGATATTACTGGGATTCGGTTATTTTAATATGAAACGTTCAGTTAGAATCCCGAGGTTTCAGCGAAGGGGCTTGGCTCTCGTCCTCTGTTTGGGTACTACTGAAGCAGATCTAAGGAGGGACAGCCTAAGAGATAAGATCTGACTTTCTTTGTACCACAAGACCCACATGGAAGGTTAGATCAACCACTCGGCAGCTCAGTGTGCAACTCTGATGAGGAATTAGGCTGGAGGAACTAATCCTTGAGGTGGCGGATACGGATGATGACCTTTGCCCTTTCAATCCACACATATATATACTTCAGGCAGGACGAAATGAATTCTTACCAATGAACTCTATTAGAATATTTCTTTCAGTGTAATTTTGAAAGGTGTTTTGACCAGATAAAGAAAAGAAGAAATTTGCTTTCAAACAATTTTACTGTGGAACCAGTCTGGAAAATGTATTTTGGAAAGATGTATTTAGTAAAAGCAATTCCTGCAGGGAACGGTGCAACAAGGGTAACTTTATCGTCCATCACTATACGGGTGTAAACCTGTAAAAGCGAAAAAAGTGTAAATAAATGTGTCGACTGCTGTGTAAAACTGGTTTAGCGGCCAACAACTATTACTGTGTGAGATTTATTCTGTAGTGTAATAGAAAGTGTCCCGATAGCAGTACAAAACTGCTTTAGTGGCCACCAAATATTACTGTGTGAGATTTTGTTTCTGTAGTGTAATAGAAAGTGTGCCGACGGGTATTTCGCAACAAATCACAAATTCGCCCAGGCTCTCCTAAAATATTTTAGGTTACATTTTAGATTAACAGTAGTTACATAATTGTCATAGCTTGTAAACATGGAAATAAAAAACATATGTTTTAGGGTAAAATTCATGAAAATCGATTATTTTTTACAAAAAGGGACATTTTAAAAGTGTTTGGACATTGTTTTCAAGTTTTCCTAAAAAAATTGTATATTTTCTTACTTAAATGAAATAATAACTTTGGTTCCCGGATAGTTCGAAAGTGTGATAGTTCAGGCTCTTTTTGAAGAGAATGACCCATAAGTATAACAGGATAAATGATTTGAATGTTATGTGCTGAGATTTTATTTTGGGGGGCAAGTTTCTCACACTTCATAAAAAATACATACTGGGACCTGCATTTATATATCAAAAACAGACATGTAAGACCTGCTGATTTGAGTGCTAACTTTTGGTGTGATCTCTTAAAATGTTTTTCTTTCAGGTGTAGAAAAGTAATCGTAGAATTTCAAGAAGCCAAAATGAGCAAGAGGGTAGCTGTCATCGGTGCTGGTACTAGTGGTATGGTGGCCATCAAATGCTGCCTGGATGAGGGCCTCCGGGTCACCTGCTTTGAGAGATCGGACCGAGTCGGTGGGCTCTGGGCTTACAGGGAGGACCGGGATGGCCAGGGCTGCGTGTTTAAGTCCACCATCAACAACACCAGCAAAGAGATGATGTGCTACAGCGACTACCCTATTCCCAAGGAGTACCCCAACTTCATGCATCACTCCTACATTGAGAAGTACTTACTGAGCTACGTGGACCACTTCGATCTGAAACGGCACATCCAGTTTCGCACCGAAGTCAAGAAAGTCGCTCAGGCTGCCGATTATGACACGACGGGGCGGTGGCAAGTCACCACGAAGAATCGTGACAGCAGCGAGTGCACCACCGATCTCTTCGATGCTGTGATGATCTGCACCGGTCATCACACAACCCCTCACACCCCTGACTTTCCAGGTCTCAAGGACTTCCAAGGAACAGTAACCCACACTCACGAATACAAAACACCCTACCATTTGATCGACAAGCGAGTTGTCGTCATTGGTCTTGGTAACTCTGGAGGGGATGCAGCTGTTGAACTAAGTCGTATCTCATCAAAGGTATTATGTTCATGTATTTCTCAGCGCCATTTTAAATGCAGGATTTTTAGTAGTTATACAATGAAGTACATGTACTGCACATGTATTTGTACTGACTTAAATATAAACAAAAATTTCAAGTAATTTCGTAGAATTTTAGATTTCAGGAGAGCCACCCAAAGATGGTACAAACTATTTAGGATAGATTGATCATGACATGCTTGAAAAAAAAACCCAACTTTTTACTTATGCATGTGCATCTCCCTAGTCGTGCCTATAAATATAGGTACTGTATTAAGAGTACCTTTAAATACACCAGATGATCCAAAATTGAAAACGGCATTTTTGAAAAGAAAACACCACTTTTTCATTGACATATATGGATAAGTAGCTTTTAAAATTACAGGACAATTTTGCATTGCTTCAAATGAGAGCTTCAAAATTCTCTTCTGGCGCATGGACCAGTCACGATACATGCAGTCAGCAACATAAAACTGTAAATGTATACACTGGTACATGTAGTCTGCAGGCGAATCATGGGGCAGTATCCAAATTGCTGTGCTTCTATCTTCAACTTTTGACACGTTTCTTCATGTACATCTTAGGCATGACTTTTATAGCAATGCAAGATCATGGAAACCAGTACCTAGTTCGAAGGACTCCCACAAGGACAAGTCATCTACAGGTGTTGGATTGTAGTCCTCCGAATGAATTTATATTTCTTTCTTTTTTTTACCCTCATCATCGCATCCCGAAAGCCAGGACTCGAGGGAGAAACACGTTGAAGCGTTGTCCAGCTGGCTATCCTGCAGCTTAAAAAAACACTTCTTAAGGACTTCTCCATATTCATCGGTTACAGAGGGAGCGCGTAATTTACGTTGATCAGAGTGTCCCTAAAAGGTGTAACTTCTGAAAGTTTCAGATTTCTGTTTACATGTAAAAACACCTAAACGTGGCCTCGAAACAATATTGAGCGACCTGCATACAGGCATGTAAATTTCTCACCAAAAGCCGGAGTGTAGCACTTTGCATCCTACAAACTCCTTTTTAGGAGAAAAACAGCACATGCCCAAAATGAAGCGCGGCCAGGGTCATTTGGGAACAGCAAAATGCACGCCAGAGGTCTGTTGTACCAGTACACCCATGTGCCGACTCGCAAACATTGCACGTCAATGGCCTTGCCTTTATACCAAAGTCACTAATTGGCTTCAACTTAACAACTCAGAGTCAATATTTATTCAAGACACGGGAGAAAACTAAATTACACCTAAGTTTTCATATTTTATTTCTGCATTTTACAACAGTTTTTGAGCAATATCAATTTCCTTCTCCATGGCAAGTAATTTTTTTGGCAAATGTTTTTTTTACCTACAGGTCTTCCTGAGTACAAGGACTGGAGCTTGGATTTTGAATCGTGTGGGTCCTCAGGGTAATCCATTTGATATTGTGATAACAAGGCGATTCATGGACATCTTACCTGACAGTTTGAAAAACACTATGACAAAGTTGCAGCTGCAAAGGAAATTAGATCATTCCAAGTATGGACTGCGGCCCAAGCACAACCCACTCCAGGCCCACGCCCTTGTCAATGACGATCTGCCAAATCGAATCCTGAGTGGTGCTGTTACCGTCAAGCCCAACGTGGCCCGCTTCACCAAAACTGGCGTTGAGTTCGTGGATGGGACATTTGAGGATGACATCGACTGCGTGATTCTCGCGACTGGATACACATTCAGCTATCCCTTTGTGGACTGCCCTTCGTTCCAAGTGGTCAAGAATGAGGTGTCATTGTACAAGTATGTCTTTCCCACTGACCTCAAACACCCAACGATATGCACCATTGGCCTGGCTCAGCCTTCTGGAGCTATCCACCCCATCTCTGAGCTCCAGTGTCGTTGGGCTGCCCGTATATTCAACAGCCAGGCACGCCTGCCACCCCGCCCAGAGATGGAAGCCTCCGTCAAGAAAGCCAAAGATGACATGAGCAAGCGTTACATCAAATCTCAACGTCACACCATCCAAGTGGACTGGATCAAGTACATGGACAGCATCGCTGTTGAGATAGGAGTCAAGCCAGATTTGTGGAAGTTGTTCTGGTCGGATCCAGCCCTGGCGCTTCACTGCTTCTTTGGTCCTTGTTTACCCTACCAGTACCGCCTGATGGGACCTGGGAAGTGGAATGGAGCAAAAGATGCTATCAACACCATGTGGGAGAGAGTCGATGCACCACTGAAGACGCGCCTCCCCGCTGTCCAAGAGGATAAGTCGGGGGCCGCAATTATGCTACTGTGGTTCGGTTTGGCTTTCCTTGTCATATATATTGCTAGACTCATTGTCTTGTAAAATTGTAGCCTTGTTGCATAATGAAACTTTCCTACCTTCTTTTTAATTCAGTGAAAATAATCAATGACTTGCTTAAAATATTTTTATTCGTCCAAACCAAACACGCATCGTTATTGATATGTACACAGTACTATAGTGACAGACTCAGTGTCTCGTGAAAATCCTACTATAAAAGTCCTTTCATTAATTGATACTTGGAAGGAGGCCCTATTAAGTAAGTACCATACAAGCACATATACCACTATGTGTACTTTTATCGGTATGTCAGTGATGTAGGTTGGTGTACATGTACTTTACTCGTATAAGGTTAGCTTTATGCATACCCCGTAATGCAGATGTGGGTTGGTCGGTGCACTCACCGTACATACCGTTGTTTCAAATTTATCAGAGTTTGGTTAGGAGTAGGCAGTGGGTGTGCATCGACACTGTATGTGATAGAATGTGTGTTTCAGAATCTGCTTAGGCCTATGTACGCTAGCACCAGCGTGCGTGTACATCTATAAGCGTACCCATTCGTGTATGCATGCCCAGTTAGATTATGTACACCATGTTTCAGTGGAGAGAAAAGTAGCTTGCCAATCACAATTTAAGCCTTAACATTAACGGCGTGTACCGTTTGTTGTACACTGTGTACAGTAAGTACATGTACATGCACATTGCACTGTTTAATTAATGCATACATGCATAATATAGTGATTTAAACGAGCAGAGTGATGTAAATAACCTATGCACTACACTTGTCCATTCATCAGAAGCAACTAATTTTACATAAAAAATATGTGTAAATTTTGTAATTTTTTCAGTGTATCAGTTACATGTATTTACACCTTTTGATGCTGCTGCTTGCATACATTTTGTTTGACAGTTAAAATCCAGCTAGTGTAAACCTTTCGCTTTGAACCTTTAACGTGTTAACTTTGAAAACATGTTGACTTTAAGACTTCTATTAACATTGTCGTTGCCAGTTTCAGGGGAAGGGTTGTCCCAACACACCTCTGTCCTGTACATATCCTGTATAAGTCTGTAGGCTAGTGATAATGCTGTTTTTCATCGTCAGAAACACGGATGTGATGCCACCTAGTAAGGGATAAAGTTCGTGTAATACAGAGTACGATGTGAGATACATTTTAGCAACAGTCTGACATTTAAGCCAGTTAACACTGCAATGTATTCAGATGAAAATTATAAAAATAGAGTCCTTGACTGTTGACAAGTTGCACAAGTACAAACTGCACCAATGTGACCTCTGATAGGCTTATAGTTACATTCTACCGCCATGGCAAATTAGAGTTTGATAAATTTCATTGTTGAACTAGGATATGGAGTGCACCCTTTATGTCAGCAGTATTGTTCATTACGTAGAATGCATGTAAACGTACATGAAACACTCTTTTCAAATGTGTCACAGGTATGAACTGTATCTTGTTAAAAGACAACTACCCTGAAATTTGTCGACGTGGCAGAAAATCAGGTAATAAGTTTTTAATGGAATGAAAAATGTGTTAACATGTTAGAAATGTTCAAGTGTTCACTTTGGTTTGTATGTCTTACTGGCAAATTTCAGGAAAACATTCCCCCTTCCACACACACACACACCCACACAGATAGTTTGATTTCGTAGGGTTATTAGCTTGATTATGTAACGTATGTTTCCACACTGTAGCAAACAAAGTACAAAAAATGGGAAAATAATAAAATTTAGTAAAGTACAGCAAGTGCAACAATAACATTGTAAACAATGTGTGTCACATAATGTCTTACCATTTTTTTTCACAAAAAAGAGATATTAAAAAATTCCCATCCTGACCCCCGCCCCCGCAATAATTCCTGGATCCACCCCTGATGTTGTGTAGGCGTACACTTTCAATTCGTTGAACAAGCATGACGAGTCCCGGGGCAATAGAGCCGATCTTTTGATGTACATGTTGGCTACGGCTGCACTCTGAACGAGGCCGTGTTGAATAGACCCGTAATTTGTGAACAGGGGCCTACGTGTATGTATTAATACTCTTACAATTGACCATTGAGGTAGAAATAGATTTAGAAAGAATTCCATGCACGTCATTAAGTTTTCCCTGAGGTGACCTCTCAACTATACTATCAAAGTGCAACGGAGTGCCCGGGTGTCAAACAATGGAAATGTAATCTTCAGTCCCCTTTTTTGCCCATTGTTTAGACTTTGAACAGCTTACATACTACTCATGCATACAAATTGGACATACCAGTACACGTATGATGTATGTATATCAAATTACCTTCACGCCAAGTTAAGCCGAGGCAACTTAGCAACTCTGTCGACAGGATTCAATTGTTAGGCTTGCAGAGGTGAGATTTGCACCACGTTTACGCAGCGGCATTCTCGAGTCTGTCATGCTACTATACAGTTTGTTTTGTTATCCTTACTGTAAGCCCCACCCGTCTTTAAACCTATTGACTCATTGAAATGGTCCTATTGAGTAACCATAAAAATGCACATACGTGTAACGGTAATTTACCACGTTAGGGCATTCTCACGTTACGTGTGTGACAAATTGACAAATTTTGTTCCTTAATACTTCTGTATGTGTGGCATAATATTCAGCCACAGGGGATATCTTATGGTTGAACATTCTTTTCATATTTATCTTCAAGTTTCACTTTACAAGCAACAAATATCTCTGTTATGTGTGTGACATCAGACGATTGCAAGTATTTGACTCGCAGTTTTACTTCGTAAAACTCTGTGATTTGGCTGGGTTTCAAGGATTTTTAATTCTCTGGGCAGAGAAATTAAACATCGTCCTTATATATGGCTAGAGTTATCTTGGTTATTAGCTGTTCCGAAAACTGGTCGAAATATCTTATGTTTTTTAGCTGTTTCGGGCACCGGCCGGAACAGTATTGTTTTTCTGAAGATTTTTTTCCTTTCCCCCCCTTCTTTTTCCACTTTTCCCCATAGACATAACATGGAGTCATTCTGCACACGACTTGTGCACCTTCCTTGGCGCCGATGCTCTCCAAACCTTGCACATAGTTAGATAACTATCTGAAGATGTATGCCGAGTTATGACGTTATCATGACGTCATCTCCCGATTTATTATAGAATTTTGAATATTTAATTTTTGGTCACTTGGCAATTCTGTAGCTTCATTAAAGTTATACAAAGCAAAGCCTTTGATACTAAAAGTGCACTAGAAAAGTACTTATACTTCAGTAAGAAGAGCTCCCAAGCTCTGACTAATGATGGGATCTGCTTCTAGGCCTTTAGCACCACATCATCTCTTTTCAGATCATTTTTCTGTTCTGTGTAATTTGAAATATGAGAGACCTTTTTCTCCTGTCAAGGAGGTTATTCATAGAAACATCAAATCCATAAACATCGATTTGCTTAAAGGCGATTTGGGTTCTTCTAAGATGTGTACGGACACTCCTCAATGTCTTGAGGAGCTTGTTAAATGTTATAAAACTACACTAGATGGACTTTTTAACAAACATGCCCCACTGTAGTCGAAAGCAGCTCCTGTCAGGCCCCGCTTGCCTTGGTTTGCTGAAAAGAAGGGGCGGCGAACCAACAACGCTTGTGACCTTTTAGGTTACAAACGAAATATGGTCACTTCTCTCTTGAACAAGGCTCGTTGTGATGTTTACAAAGAGTTTATTGATAATAATAGCTCTGATCAAGCGAAATTATTAGGGTGTCAAAATCACTGCTTGGGTATTCCGTTACTGCTCCTCTTCCTCCATTTACTAATAAATTGACTTTGGCTAATGAGATGGGTAACTTCTTTGTGGAAAAGATATAAAATATTCATGCCAAACTTGACAACTAAGTTTTTAACACACCTGCTGGAGTATCTTACTTCACATCAGAAACATTATCTAGTTACATCCTTGACTGAGTTACAGGTAAAGCAGCTTCTTGTGAAATCTGCAAAGAAGTCTTGTGCCCTAGATCTAATGCCCACCAGTTTGGTGGGTGAGTGCCTTGACTTTCTGCTTCCTGTATTTGATAAAATGATCAACCAATCTCTTAAGACCGGTACATTTCCTGATAATTGGAAGGAAGCTTGGGTTTTCCCTTTGCTAAAAGAGGACAAGCTTGACCCGATTGTTGAAAACTATTGGCCAATGAGTAACTTACAATTTATATCCAAACTAACTGAGAAAGCAGTGTATGACCACATGTCCAAACATTGTCTGTTTCCGGTTCATCAATCATCTTACAGGAAACATCACAGTACGGAGACTGCCCTTTTGAAGGTAAAAGATGATATATTGCTGAAGATAAGCTCTCAGCATGTGACTTTACTTGTTCTTTTAGACCTCAGTGCAGCCTTCGATAAGGTTGATCATGACATTTTGCTGAAACGTCTGCAGTTGAAAGCTGGAGTTTCAGGCAAAGCTCTGGATTGGTTTACATCCTATTTGTCAGGTAGAAGCCAACGCGTATCTATTCAAGGAACCCTTTCAAAAACGTTCAAACTTAACTGTGGGGTTCCTCGGGGATCATGTTTAGGACCACTTTTATTTACTATTTATGCTTCTAGATTATTTGACATTGAGCACCGTCTGCCTAATATTCATTGTTATGCTGATGACACACAGCTGTATAAACCAGACGATGATGTTTCCTGTCAGATCGCTGTAGCTGCGATGGAAAGTTGCATCCAGGACATAAGACAGTGGATGTTGCATGATAGGTTAATTTAATGATACTTAGAGTAAGCTCTTGATCATTGGTACGAGACAACAGCAGCAAAAAGTGAAAATTGCTAACATCACTGTGGGAGAATCTGCTGTCTATCCATCCACATGTCAGAAATTTGGGATCATGGTTTTACTCTGAACTTAAAATGAATACTCATATTAACAAGGTTTGCTCAGCTGCATTTTTTCATCTTCATAATATCAAACGTATCAGTAAATTCCTGTCAAGTGATTCCCTTTTTACACTAGTCCATGCGTTATGACGAACCATCTGGACTATTGTAACAGTTTATTGTATGGGTTGCCAGGAGAACAAATAGCAAAACTCCAAAGGGCTCATAATGCAGCGGCCAGACTTGTTACAAACACACAGAGGTTTGAACATATAACTCCAGTATTATGTCAACTCCACTGGTTGCCCATTCGTTCAAGAATTCATTTCAAAATTATCCTATTGACATTTAAAGCTCTTCATGGACTTTCTCCCAGGTACATGCAAGATCTTATTATTGTTAAGAGACATTGCAGGTATCAACTCGGGTCAGGAAACAATGATCCTCTTTTGGATTATCCTAGTGGGAAGATGCTATCCACTCTAGGTGATAGGTCTTTTTCTGTGGCAGCTCCTAAATTGTGGAATGCCTTGCCACTTTCCATTTGACAGGAACAAAGACTTAGCATTTTTGAATGCAAATTGACAACTTTACTCTTTAGACGCGTATTTTAAATGTATAATTGTATTCTGGTCTTTTCTCCTTTTTTCATTCCCAGGGTCACAGTGTCAGGTAGTTAGAGCGGAAATTATAGGGTTTGAGGCGTCTGTCCCCTGGAAAGGTCGAGACATCAGGCGGGGTTTATGCTTATTTAGTTAGTTACCCAGTTGACAGGACAGACGTATCCCCATACTCCGGTTTGGGCACTGGCACGGTGGCCTGTTTTTCTCTCTACTGCTATTGTATAATTTGCTTTGGTTTTAAATCGTGTTTGTGTGCTTGGATTTTTGAATTGGTTTTTTGTGTATTTGTTTTTAAATAAGTTTTTAGTGTAATGCGCCTCTGATCACTTCGGTGGAAAGGGCGCCCTATAAATTCTAAATTATTATTATTAATACTAATACTAATTGTAGGCTGAGATTTTCATTGTGGGTCTGACGTTTCTCACACTTCATAAAAATGCATGTACGTACAGTACCTCTATTTGTGTATAATGTACATGTTATTAAGCCCTGATGAAATGAATGCGAATATATTGGATGTGATCCCTTGAAACGTTTTCCTTTAGTCGATTCTAACAGAGTGGTTCCAAAAGTGCAGAAGTCCAAGAAATCGGAATGAGTAAGAGGGTGGCTGTCATTGGTGTTGGTGCTAGCGGTATTACGGCCATCAAATGCTGCCTGGATGAGGGCCTCCAGGTCACCTGCTTTGAGAGATCAGACCGAATCGGTGGGCTCTGGGCTTACAGGGAGGACCGAGATGGCGAGGGCTGCGTGTTTAAGTCCACCATCGCCAACACCAGCAAAGAGATGATGTGCTACAGTGACTACCCCGTACCACAGGAGTACCCCAACCTCATGCATCATTCCTACATCGAGAAGTACTTCCTGAGCTATGTGGACCACTTCGACCTGAAACGGCACATCCAGTTTCGCACCGAAGTCAAGAAAGTCGCTCAGGCTGCCGATTATGACACAACGGGGCGGTGGCAAGTCACCACGAAGAATCGCGACAGTGGGGAGACCATCACTGATCTCTTCGATGCTGTGATGATCTGCACTGGTCATCACACAACCCCTCACATCCCTGACTTTCCAGGTCTCATGGACTTCCAAGGAACAGTAACCCACACTCACGAATATAAAACGCCCTACCATTTGATCGACAAGCGAGTTGTCATCATTGGTATCGGTAACTCTGCGGGGGATGCTGCCGTTGAACTGAGTCATATTTCATCAAAGGTACGGGCATGTATCAGAGTTGTAGACTCGAGTCACTTGACTTGGACTCCAGTTGGACTGGAGTCTCTGCTTTGGTGACTTGTAACTATCAGTTTTTGACTTGTGACTTTACTCGGACTTGCAAAAAATGACTTGTTACCAACATAAGACAGAAAAATATTCAATCGAACCCATTACAGATTTAAATAGGTCTATCAACTTACAATACCTCGTTCCCGGCCCTCGCGACGTCTAAGGCCGTTTTCCAATACTCAACTTCGTCTCCGTCTCAGGCTTCTTTCCCCAAACAAATCCCCGATTGCGGACATGAAGCGTTTAATTACATTAGATTACTGTAATTTTTGGCTTTCTTGCATCTTGTTTGATGTTCTTTGGCACTATTAGACTGATTACTGCGTTTACAGCTTCAAAGTGAGCTAGTAAAAAAAGTTGAAGCCTGAGACGGAGCCGAAGTTGAGTATTGGAAATCGGCCTTAGGTCTTGTCTGCCCTGAATCACTGTTGTCTGTAGTCGTGCACATTTGTTCGGCAGTGCTTCCGATTTTCTTTGTTTCCCGTCCTCCCCCCCCCCGACTTTCCGGGGGAGCCAATCAACAGCCTTATATTGAATTATTCAAATCAGTTTATGACGTCACTCATCCTGGAATTGAAAACAAAAACGGTGTCCTGATCTCGAAGGCCAAAAATTTCCGCGTAAAATACCCCGTTTAGGTGTATACTTTCAAGACACGCTAATAAATTATTTTTTGTAACGACGGAAAGAGTTCCGTGTACGGACAACACTTATTTTCTCTTAAAATATGAAAGTGATAACATGTCCTAAAAGTGAGATTTAGCTTAAAGAAACTTCGGCCAGAATAATACCGCCCTCTATATTTCAAAAGATGGATCACCCTAGCTGTTGAGAGTTTTAGGAAATAGAGATATGGTATTTCTCCACACATTCATGCATCTAACTAAAAAAAGTTTCAAAATGTGGCATATCAGGTTCATGCATGGGACCACAGAATTTAGATAGAAAAGCCTGCGCACTTAACTATGTCATTGTCTTCTCTATATGACATCACTGCAACAGCACCCTCAGTTGTCCCAAATAAATTGTTAAACGTTTTTAAAGGTGTACTTTTCAAAACATTTAACCAAACTGGAATGTAAAACATTTTTCATTTAACCAAACTGGAATGTAAAACATTTTTCATTTAACCAAACAGGAAAGTAAAACAGTTTACATACCTTAAAGATGAGCACAAAGTTGCAAAGTATTGTGTCTGAGAAAAAGTCATTGCAGGGATGGAGCTGCAATGAATTTTTCTCAGACACAATACTTTGCAACTTTGTGCTCATCTTTAAGGTATGTAAACTGTTTTGTGTCCCAATTTCACAGAGCTGCTTAGAAGTTAGCAGAAAAGTTGTGCTTACTATAGCAGAAAGATTTCTTAGCCTAAGCACATTTCATGGCAGTGCCTGGCCTGGTTGTGCTTACGGTTGTGCTCGCGTAAAGATTTCCACTGTTTTTGAGCAGATTTTCTTCTTTGAGGTAAGCTTGCATGTCTTGTGACATGCTTTCTGCTTACGGTCTCAATGAAATACACGGAGCCTCCATAATCCCGTGCTTAGCAGCGCTGTGAAATGGAGCCAAGGCTCGCCTGTTTAAAATGATGAACAGACTCATTCGCCCTGGCTTGACAACTTAGAGTCAGTGTTTATGGTACAACCAAAAGATAACATGCACGTTGCGCAGGGATGTGACCTAATTTATTATCATTACTATTATTTACATCGTTATTAAAGTTGAGTAACTTGCACGTTATACTGGTTGGAATTCAATGTTTGTGGCTTACAGGTTTTCCTGAGTACAAGGACTGGAGCTTGGATTTTGAATCGTGTGGGTCCTCAGGGCAATCCAATTGATATTATGATAAGAAGGCGATTCCTGGACATGCTTCCTGATAGTTGGATAGACTATACGATGAAGCGGCAGATGCAAAGGAAATTAGACCATTCAAAATATGGACTGCAGCCTAAGCACAACCCATCACAGGCAACTCCTCTAATCAATGACGTCCTACCAAATCGAATCCTAAGTGGTACTGTTATTGTCAAGCCCAATGTGGCCCGCTTCACCAAAACTGGGGTCGAGTTCGTGGATGGGACATTTGAGGATGACATCGACTGTGTGATTCTTGCCACGGGATACACATTCAGCTATCCCTTCGTGGACTGCCCGTCGTTCCAAGTGGTCAAGAATGAGGTATCGTTGTACAAGTATGCCTTTCCCACTGACCTCAAACACCCATCGATATGCACCATTGGCTTGGTTCAGCCTTCTGGATCTATCCTCCCAGTCTCTGAGCTCCAAAGCCGTTGGGCTGCCCGTATCTTCAACGGCCAAGCGCGTCTGCCACCCCGCCCAGAGATGGAAGCCGCTGTCAAGAAGGCAAAAGATGACACGAGTAAGCATTACATCCACTCCCGACAAAACATGATCCACGCGGACTTGATTGAGTACATGGACAGCATCGCTGTTAAAATAGGAGTCAAGCCAGATTTGTGGAAGTTGTTCTGGTCGGATCCAGCCCTGGCGCTTCGCTGCTTCTTTGGTCCTTGTTTACCCTACCAGTACCGCCTGATGGGACCTGGGAAGTGGAATGGAGCAAAGAATGCTATCAACACCATGTGGGAGAGAGTCAATGCACCGCTGAAGACGCGCCTCCCAGCTGTCCAAGAGAAGAAGTCAGCAATTATGCCACTGTGCCTCGGTTTGGCTTTCCTTGTCATATTCATTGTAATATTCATGTTCTTGTAAAACTCATGATTCATCTTCACTCAGTGGATCTAATCATAACATAATTTTAAAAAACTGTCCACACGTCAATGAAACACGTCCATTCACTGATTTTGTGTAGCATTAGTGGCAGTTTATCAAAGAAAAACATTGTACTGTTCCTGAGTGGGGGCCATTATAAGCCTTGATGAGTACATCGAATTGTGTGTCTGTGCACTTGTTCTTTGTATTACGCAGTTAAATTTATGTATGGTGATGCACGTGGGTGCATATATGTCAAGAGAACCAAGGATTCCTCTTAGAAAGCAGAGTTTGGTTTGGGGTAAGCAGTGGGCATGCATCTGTGCACATTGCACTGAGATAGAATGGTGGGCTAGGATTCTGTAAGAATCTGAATTTTTTATTTTTCTACTTACAAGGTAGATTCACTCCAGAGACTTACATGTGTACGGAACTACGTACACGCATAGCTTGCCAATGATAATTTTATGCCTTTGTACATTTCAGATTTTTTCAATTTTAAATGTATGTTATGCATTGTCCAGTAATTAAGTACATGTTCATTTACTGTTTAGCTAATACATAAATGCATAAATGTGATTTAAAAGATAACATTAATTTGAATAAAACTTCATGCACTCGAGTTCACTTATAAGAAGCAACAACTTCGATCTAATGTGCATTTTCTTTTCAATGATCAATCATTTACATTTTAGATGCCGATCTCAGCCATGTACACATAGAAATCTGTAGGCTGCTGAGAATGCAAGTTTTTATGTATCAGGGATACAGATGTGAATGATGTCACATTCTAAAATGATACTTCAAGTGGTGTACATGTTCATGTAGTTAGTAAAACTAGCCTCCGGAGGTGATCCATACTACTGTATTTTCCTGAGGCAAAGGCAAGGAAAAATGGAGAGCTTCATGGACCACCATGAGATAAAGCACATGCATGTTCATAACCTCTCTCTCACAGATTCAGCTTGGCTGGAGTGACAAATGATAAATTTGATCTAACTACATGTAAAAATTGGTCTATTTAAATAAGGAATTTGTTTAAAATTTACCAGCACTTTTCCAAACTACCTCTACCTCAAAATATTTGAACTGACCTCTGTCCCACTAGTGCTTGGGAATGCACATGATATGCCGCGCGCACACCAGTTAACAATTGATGCCTGTGGTGTAGGGGTCCATGGTGTTTTGTACACCCAAGGGGGTAAACGGCACTCGAGGCGAAGCTGAGGGTGCCATTTGCCCCCGAGGGTGTACAAAAAACATGGACTCCATTACAGCAGGCAACAATTGTTTTGTTATACCATGGTCATAGATTACACTGGAACGGTCTTATGTGTAATATGTGCATATTTTATTGCAAAATAATTAACACACTTTGACAAATTGAAAAGCTTGAACAGCAAATTAGATACTAAATTACAAAGAAAATAATGGAATATGATGTCCTTTGTTGACCTATGTTTTGGGGGTTTTTTTGGGGGGGGGATTTAGGATTTAGAACAAACTGGTTTACTAGAAAAACCTGGGATTCATAAAGCACTGAAGATTTTATCGACTAGCAGAATTTCAATATTGACAAGATTGAAGAGCAGGCAAGAAGAGATAACCGCATGAGCATTTTAGTTTTATATAAACAGCAATGGTGATCACAGCAGAAACAGTGATCAGAGCATACTTGTGTTCCACGAGCATAGCCAGGTGCACAAACAGAAGTTTAATAACTCACAGGTCTCCGTCATGGTCAGAGTGAAGCGAGTAGCACTTGTGAACAGACAGAGTACTTCAATGCGCCCCACACAGTGCACATCTCCTACAGTAATTGGAGCGTGGTACCACCATGGCTACCCACCCTCGTACCCAAGATTAAGCAATTACAACGCAGTAGACATGACACATCAACTGTGGGAAGGACCACCATTATCCTTCATTTTTTGTGGCCTGGCAACATCGCCAGTGCGCTCGACGTGTGAATGGTACTTGTAGCATATCACATGATCAATTCAAGACCGATAAAAATTCACCATCTATGACCTTGGTATAACAATATACATTGGCACATAATGTTGGTGGTTATGTATATAGTCTTTGGTTGCTATGGGTAGAGTTCTTCGGCCTTGTACAAGGGAGCTAAAATAGCAATTGCCATGTAACTGGCTCTCAGCCAATCAAGTTACAGAATCTGTGGGTGTTGTTATAATAAGGGATAAATTTTGTGTAGTACTGTCTGCGTTGTATAGTTGAGTAAAAAGCAGTCCTAAGTTTTTCTCGCATTTTAGCTACAGTCTGGCATTTATGGAGTTCAGCCCATTAAATCTGTGATGAAATCAAATGAACATTATAGAAACATAGAGTCCAAGGCAAGTAGTACAAATGAAAATGTACCAATGTGACCCAATAACGGGACCTCTGTGGTTACATTCTGCCATCATACCAAATTAGAGTGTGAAAAATTTCAATGTTGAGCTACATGTATGATGTGGAATGCACCCTTTCTGTCAGCAGTGATAGAAGAGATGGCGTCACAGGGCAAATTTTATTCCGTAATTTGCATGTAAGCAAACGTGAACATGATGAAGCGTTCTTCTTTTTGAAATGTGACCAAAGGAACAGGTATGAACCTTGCTTTGTTAAAAGAAAAATACATGTACACTGAAATTTGTTCACCTGGAAACAAATCATGTAATAAATTTTTAGTGGAATGAAAACCGTGTTGATGTGTCAGATATATTCAGGCGTTCATTTTGGTCTGGATACTACTATGTCAATTCCGTTCAAACATTCCAGAGCTCCAAATTGACCTGCATTATGAAAGCCATAGCCACAGACGTAGGAAATGAGACATTAAAACAGGAAGAAATGTACATTAAGTACCATTAAAAAAGTTTTGTTGGAATTTACGGTGTTATTAGCCAAGACACATACATGTCAATGTATGGCCTTAAGAACATTTCTAATGTGCAACGGACATCCCATTGTATTAAGCCTGGTTGCCATATCGACGTAAGAAATGCAGAACGCAAGGCAATCACGATGCAAACTGCAACGCGCACATATGGAAACATGCAAAATGAAAACGTCACCGGCAATGCAGACAAACACAAACCAACCCGTGAACGATCAGCAAAGTTGAGCCAGGTTCAACTTTGCCAACTGTCTGTGTCCAGTAGCCGTGGTATCCCCGTACAAACATGCATGCTGACATGCCCAGCATGAACCGATGTCCCTTTCGCTTAGTTTCACGAATTTAGCTCCTTTTCTCCTTAATGCTTAAATATTACACCCTTCGATCAACTAAATTGCTGACCATCAATGAAATGCATGAAACTGGAGTACAGGTTTGGCATCATAAGGTGGTACAGTCAATCTAAAATGGTATTTTCCACAAATAATCACGCCATTTTGTTTCAACTGTTGGGTGGATTGACGTCATGCACCGTCTCTTCCATTCATGTCAGCATTTTCACGTCTTGTGGACCGTCTACATTACAAAGGACCATATAGAAACCAGGCTTAACTGTATAAAGTAGTGTTTGATTTGGGCAGATAAAGAGAGAACCTTGAAAAGGGATCCATGGTTTGACTTCAAGGGTATTATGTGCCTTTGAAGATTTGTCTACAGTACACATGTACTTATAGCATTATCAGTTCTTTTGGAGCCTTTCTTGAAACCACCATCCAATAGAAAACAAAGTAGGAGCAACCTTGTAAAGCACTCAACAGCATGCACTTCAAGTAAAGCAACGTCATGAAGGTTTCAGGTAAATCTACATTCATGAGCTTCACATCACCATGATGCAAAATGTCAAATCTTTTTTACACGGTAGTGTGGTCTATTAAAGCTCACATGAATCCCACTCTGCACCCTCAGCTTTCTGCCTCCTCTGGGTAGGCGATACTGGGATCATTGAAATCGAACAGTTCCTCATCCAACAAGTTCTCTTCGAGCTCCTCATCTTCGTAGTAGGTTGGAAATGGAGGTGGGACCTCTGGGTCTCTATTCTTGGGCAGTATGCTATCTATGACCTTGATGTAGCCGAACTTGTGCCCAGCTACGCTGCCGCCAACGTAGAGGATGTTGTGTTTCATGTTGACTCGTAAAACCTTGAAGAGGAGAAAATTGGAAAACTGAACATTTCCAAATGATGAATATTAGAATTTTGTTTGCATGTAGGATGATATACCCAGCAAGAAATGAGATAGGGTACCCCCCTACATGTCCAAGTCCTATACACACTCTTGACTATTGTTACCTTACAAATCCCCCCTACATGTCTGAAAAGAATTCCTGAGATTCTAGTGAAACAATGACCAACACAAAGCGGGGGGGGGTTTCTCTGTCTCATGTCTTGCTTCATATGGAAAAACTAGGTCAATCTAATGAGCTCTGGGCGAGACCATGGTCTGAGCACAATAAACCACTTGCAAGTTAAATTTGAATAAAACGTAACAATTTGAATTCCCCAGACTAAGACACTGTTGCTATACCTCGTGATTCGGGACAAGCTTTTGCATAGCGACCACCATTTCTGGAATGGTCTGGTTCCTTTGTGCCTTTCTTGTCCATTGAGAACAATGTATTGTTGGAAGGCATCTCTTATGTAACTAAGCAAAAGCTTGCCCCGAATCACGAGGTATAGCAACAGTGGTTTTAGTCTGGAGAAATCAAGTTGTTATTTTCATGTGAATTTCAAGAACTCAGTGTGCCAGATATTATTCAAATTGAACTCGCAAATGGCTTATTGGAAAGTGACCATCTGGTGGGACAAAATGATTTGCCTATATTCACTGACATGTTTGGATTAAAGAAGCACACCCTGACCCGACTGACCTTAAGTCCTAAAGTCCAGCGCATTTTGTTGCCCATGTGGCCGGGCATCTTCTTGCCGGGCCAAATCCTTCCAGGAGTCTGAAACATGGAAACGTTTAATTATAAGATGGAATGCCAACTTAAAATACATTTCTGAAATTAAACCTTGATATTAAAAATTCTTTCAATATTTACACCAAACTTTGCATAAAATAAGGTTATCTATAAAACAGACAATGGGCACATAGAAAGAGTCAGCAAATAATTATGTGTATGATTTCCCTTGACAGTAAATACATGTTTTTCACGAGGATATCAAAGATTCCCTTTTAGTTGAAAACCTGCACTTGTGAGAGAGAAAGGGAAACATTACGCGTCTATAGAAATGAGGGATCTTTCAGAATATCCCGTGGGATGTTAAGAGAAGAAATCATGGAGGAGTACGAAGAAAATACAGCTTATGGGGTATGAACTTCGGCAAATTTTTCCTCCGTACATGGTTTTGGTTTCAGTCTGCGAATTGAAGCTTTCCCATGGGAAACTCTTGGCAAGTGAATTGTTTTTTTTTTAACCAAGCAAATTAAACATTCTGTACTTTTCAATGATTTCAAATCAATTGTAAACATACTGAAATTTACCAGAATAGAAGTTGAACTGCTGACCTTTGCCAGATCACAATATGGATACTCTACCAGGCCTCGACCTTAAGCTTTCAACTAGCCCACCAGACAAGTTAACTTTTTCAACAGGCTCACAGGAATTTCATTTGCCAAACTACCTTTGTCTACTTTTTTCAACTTCATTCTTTCATCTACTACGGTGGGGTCTTGCTGTAAATTTAAAAAAGTTAAAATGTGGAGAATTCAAAAATATCACAGAAAAAGATAAACAACACAGTCAGTTCCATTACACAGTTTCTTTCAGTCATGTTAAGATACATGACCTACTGACAGTTTCAAACAGGCAGGTTTTGCTTGACTAGCCCATCAGGCAAGTTAAAAAAAGGCAGTTTACTAGCCCGCAGCAATTTTACTAGAATTTGTACGCCGGCCTAGTGCAAAGGTCAAGGCCTGCTCTGCCAACTGACCTGTCTAGCCCTACAAGTACATGTTGAATCTTCCTAGCCGTCAATGTCTGTTCAGGGATACCAGTCAGTGCGCATACACCCACACATCATATAGCCAGGGATCAGGCCCAATGCCACAATGTAAGCAACATTAGCAACACTCCAGACAAAATGGGGAAACCACTAAAACTGGTCTGAATTCAATACTGTTCGGCTACGAGTCACGCACGTCATGAGATGTTAGTCATAACACATGTTTGGTGATGCAGTGGTCATTATGTACATCTCTGAATTTCTCCAGCCCATCAAATACCATATTTATGCATTTTGAGACAGACGGGGACAGTAAGAAAGCGGTACTAGAGGGGGCTCTTCCAGTCAGTGTAATTGCCAAATCCAGATCCTCTTGAAAAGAAAAAAACTTGTTACACAGAGAAAGACCATTCTATTACTCACCCCTCCACCCCCTGTTGCACCCATCTTTCGATGTGTCTTTGTGACTCCATGGCTGGCTGGTTGGCCCTTCATTCCCCAACGTTTCATTACACCCTGGAAACCTTTGTCAATGCTGTCAAAGTGCAGCAACAAAGACAGAATAGCAGGAAGTACTCAGTTACTCACACTACTTTCAAATACTCATTATGTATACGATGTCAAATTACCTTGAGTAAATCTGGTCAACTTTTTTTTATGGTCCATCCTCAGTTTTTGAGTGGCAAACCCCCCCCAAAATTGGATCCCCTCAAAAATTTAGTTCTGGATCCACTGTTAAGCATGTGTAACACAACTAAAGGGCACTCTCATGAACCAATGTGACCAAATGTACGTCGGTCACTGTCAAAGACAAAGACTGCATTGCCAATCACAAGTACGAAGTAGTAGGCAAGCTTTCACCGGTTTGATAACTTGCAAGAGTGTGAAAAAAATGTGGAGCAAGTACCCTGAGTGCTGGATCAGCACGGTGACAACGACCCTACAAGGCACAGGGGATGACCATTTTGCTATATAGAAAACTTGTGGTTACTTTGCATCAATATACTTCTCTCCCTCTTGGTTACAAGAGCGATGAATGGGTGCCACCCAAACGCTCGCCTGCTTTAGAACCTCACATCTTCCCAACAGTCACAGTCACGTGGTGCTACCGCAAACTTTCACTACACATTAAACTTGCCTACATCCATCGTGGCTGATCTTACCAGTGTTGTGTTCAAGTCCATTACACACCCCTTCACTCTATCACAAGTCTATCACAAGTCCATAACAAGTCTTCCTGTCTTAAGCCAATTCACAAGCTGTTCAAATGAACTGTGACAAAAGCATTCTTTTGTCAATGTTCACCCTCATGCCTAAGACTGGCCTTGTGAAAGGACTTGTGATGGACTCAAATACAATGCTGGATCTCAGGGTAACTGTGCTGGCACTTGTTGTCGCATGTGTTCTTGAATTGTGACGCGAGCATTTTGGACACATCTTGATCAGCGACCAACAGTCAACCCCTGGTCAATTCTTTCTGGAACCAGGATTTATCTTGTGCTCATGAACGTGGTGCCACGACAGTATGAGCTTTTAATTTAGCGCACCTGATTATTTTAGTGAGAGAGACAATGGACACTATTCCTGAGTAAGCCATTTTGATCTTGTTCCTTGTATCTGTGCTCTTACTTGTTGGCTATTAAGTGGAATGGTATCAGACTATTTCAGGATTCGTGGGGGTTCCAAGCATCCCTATTTCTTTGTCAAATCTTGCAACACGACACTAAGGAACGTTGTATTACAAACTTCAATTCATTCATCAGAGTTAACGGGTAAAAATTTATTCCTTCATATACTGATGACCTCAAGTTCAAAAATGAAAACTTGACTGCTTTGAATTTCAATATGGCCCACTCACGAATATGATTCATTGAAGTCAATGAATGATTAGACTTGAAATGAGGTTCCACTACTTACGTTCTACCACAGCAGTCCACATACATGCCTGGTCTGAAATGCGCAGCATGCAGTGGTGTACCTGAAATCAAATAATCTTGAGTTGGTTTCACTGGGGTTGACGCAAAAATTGACATTCAAGTGTAGCTGAATGAATTTTTTTTAGAAACAATTTTTCTTCAGCTTTACACTCTTCTTCAATGTAGGAAAACTCTTTTATATTCCTATTTGATTATTGGCAGCACTTGTCTAAACACTTCAAATAATCCATGCTTCTCCTGGACAACTGAGGCAACTCTTGCTGTGATGTCATCCAGGGAAAACACACACGTGCTTCAGTGCATGGGTTTTTCTGTTCAAATTGTGAGCACAGAATTTATTTACTGAAAACATTTCTAAGAAAGGAATTGATGATTGCTTATTGCTATGCACATAAACGGCAACAAATCAGCAAAGAGAAAACTTAGTAAAGCATAATCTACAAATATGAGGGACTGTTTTTGTAAGCAAACCAATGTAACATAAATTAAGGCTTTCTTCCTGGAATGACACAGCTTTGCTTGTGAATGCGGAAATACTCAGCATAAAAACCCAAAAGGCAGTCAATTACCCTTTCAAATAGTGAAACAAAAGTTGAAACACAGGTCAACCGAGACACCAGGGTGCACTTTGAAGGTTTGTGCCCGCACAATTTGATTGCAAACTAAACACATTTACCTGAACACCCAACGCCAACAGCCACAGAAAAAAAGAGGTAGCATTTTGTTAATTTCGTCATTAAGGGTCATAAGGGTTGGGGTCTGTATTTTTTATTTTTCAACTAAATTATTCGTGTTTTTTGTTTAAAGAAGTTAAATGGGCAGTATTTTGGGGATTAGTCCCTGAAGCTGCCCAGATCCATAGCATTCACACAGATAGATACCATACGTGTACATCAATGACTATTTCTGTGCACTCACATCTGAAGTGAATCTGATTCAAAATTTAGAAAGTATGGAACTTTAGAGAAATTCAGCAAACGTTACTTTTTGGCTCATAAAACCCACTGCAATGACAACTTTTTACACTGGCCAAATATTTCTAGGATGCAAAGTTTAGATCTTTTTTCCATAGCCTTTTGTGGCACTAACCCGGTTGAATCTTGGCATTGGAAGACACTTTGAAGGAAGTGAGCTTGTCTTTCACTGGTAACCCGGCTTCCTTGAACTGCTCAGAATACAGCAGGGACTTCTGTTGAGGCAAAATGAAGAGGAAAAAGTTCACATCACAGTATGCTGGTGTGTAGTATGTTCAAGTAGGTATGTACATGTAGCTACACAGGAGTGCATGTGTACGATGTACGTGCAGAACGATAAAAGCTGAATAAAAAAAACCCAGCCAATAATAGCATCCAAAATTCAACATTTTATCCTAAATTTCAGAGAGATGCTGATTTGACAAAAACAGCTTTACTGGGACCCTCTTAACTTTAAAAGCCCTGCTGGTCATTTCAGTGGGTGAAACAGAGTGCTTCAACTGACTTTTCCTCCAAATATAAGAACAATGACCATAGGTTATCTACATAACTAAAAGCTACATACTGGAAAAACAAAATCTGAAGGCTCAAATCTAAATCTAATGGCGACTTGGAGAATGATAATGTGGCAAAAAACAGGACGGCTAAGCACAATTTCAGTATATTTCCTTTACCTTGAAGGGGTCTGCATTTCTGGCACCAACAAGAAGACACCCGTACTTTGGGTTGAGCGTGTTTTCTTCAGGGGGTGTGTATTTGACCACACTGTTCTCTAACACCTGAGGGAGTTCAAATGATTACGGATACGATGAACACAGGACAAATCACATTCAATGATGCAGCGTTAATTGTGAAATAGTCATTTTTATCAAAGTAACAACTGATGAATAGTATATGCCAAAAAACCACTGGCATCTGAGGTGTCTTCCATGAAAGTGGTCAGAAGTAGTGCATGGCACATGTACATGTACGTACACAGCTAGAAGCTGTGCTGAGTCTTTACAGTTCAACACCATGATACCCCCATTGTTCAGAAGCATTCCACTGCATTCCAGGGATGCATCAAGTTAGCATAGTGCATTATGTGGGGTACGATATGATGAACCGTGTAATGCAGTTACATATCACACTGTTGGTTGCCATGGATCAACAAAACAGAATTGAGAATTCAAGTTTGCTTGACGAGAAGCACATCACCTTTGTTTCTCACAACTTTGTAACAAAAGGTGTGCTTTATTTTTCAACCACATCAAACCAAACAACCTTCACCTGTAATACAGTAGTTGTAAGGCGCTGCCCAGATTTGGTCCACACTGGCATCATTCCAAGCTTGACTGCCACCAAGCCACACCTCTTGGACCTGCCAGGTTCCCACTCTCCGTGGGGCCAGGGTTCATCTTTCAGAGGGCTTGGCCCAAGGGTGTTCTTCACTCGGCTCCACTTGTTGACAATGTCTTCGAGGTCCTTGGGGATGTCGGTGTCATACTCGGTGTCATACTCGTAATAGGTTCGGCGCTGGACTGCACAGCTGCAAAGCCTGGATATAAAGCATGTATGGTACATGTACTTGGTATCCAGGTTGGAAGGGTCATGAAGGGTGATTCTGATACATCGGGTATTTCAATGGGCAGACTGCTTCAACAGCAGAGGTGTATGCCTACATGTACAATGTAGCTTACATAATCTTGATGTTAGGTTAGCCTGAGTGACTCAATCATTAATGATTTAGTAAATGTTTGGAATTTTTCAGACCAGTCAGCTCATAGGGTTTGTGCACAGGTTGTCATGATTGTAGACCTGGGCCTACATGTACATGTACATTAGGCCTACATCCCGACAACACTAATTTCCCCGAGTTCCATTTACGGACGCCAGTAATTATTCCCTACAGTGACCTATTAGCCTTTACAAAAGCAAAAACATGTCCGGAAAAATTCAATTTAGGAGGGAAAAACCCAAGTCATTTACTTAGGAAACACTTGGAATTTTCAGACCAGTCTCATAGGGTTTGTGCACAGGGTGTCAAGTGACATCCATGTAGGCCTATGGGACATGTCTTTCTTCCTTTTAAATGTTAGGGCCTATAACGACCGTCAGAAAGTGATAGCATATCCTGAAAAGTGCAATTTAGGCCTCGCTAAAAAAGTCTGGAAAGTGTTCCATATACAGACACCGCTTGACCATGTTAGCACCTTGTGCACAAACCCTATGGGACTCATCTGAAAAATTGAAAGTGTTTTCTATGTAGGCTAAACGACTTGGTTTTTTTTCCTCTAACATTGAACTTTTCTGGACACGTTTTTGCTTTCTGACAGCTAATAGAACTAGTATTTTACAGGTCACTGTTGGGAATAATTACTGGCATTAGGGAACTCTTCCCCAAATTTCCAAGCATTTAGTCCTAGGTGTACTAGGAAAACACATTTTTTTTTCAGACAAGTCTCATACTATAGCCTAGCTAGCTAGCATGCCCAGGCTAGACCTAACGTTACTTAACTTTTTTAACAGGTTTGTGCTCAGGCTAGGCATGATCATGATTAGACCCGTACACGGGGCCCAACGAATACTCCCCCGTCGTATACCAGTATACGATGGAGGAGTTTCGTTGGGCCCTGCTTACCATGTTTATCCGGGATCAGCATGGGCATGATGGGCAGGGGCATCAATTAGTAATTAAAAAATACTGAAATACTGTAGCCACAAAGGCTCTCTCCAGAAATTTTCCGTAAAGATGATTGAGAAGGAAAAACAAACCTTGTTAGCCTTTCCCTTGCGTTTAGCAGTGAGTTTTTCGACACGAGTTGTATAACTCGTGTGATGACCATGGGGGCCGCCATCTTCACGATCTGCATCCCTTGTCTGTCGTTGTATTCTATTGGCCTTTTTATCGTAGGTATAAGATTCTGCCCAATCAGAGAAGGCGTAGTTCTACACGCACACACGACGACTGTTTCGTGCTACTTACAGAGGATCAAGTCGTTCGTGACTGAACGATCAGCCATGGATCCAGCTCACGTTTCTCGTCTGAAGGAAGAGCAAGAACACTCACTAGAGGAGACATTAGTCAGGATAAAGAAGTGGTGTGTGCATTTATCAACTAGTAAAATTTACATATGTGGTAGGCACGGTCTGAAGGCAGCCGGGGTAGCCAGCTGCCCTGCATGTTCTTATAATTATAAGGGAGAGCGACATTTTAACTTCTGAATGCACCTTGGGAGATATATAACTTTAGGGTTAATGTTGTCAAAAGGGTTGGCTTATGGTTTTGAGTTTTGAGGGGAAACTGTGAGTGTTTAACACATAACACGTAGTCGATTCAAATTTGCATGGTTAGTTTATCAGTAAAAAAGTCACTTTTTCTCACAATTTACAGTTTGAAATTTCCAAAAAATAGGGTCAGCGCAATAAAGAGATTGTTTCCTTTGCTTTTTGGGGGACTTACCAGCTTTGCAAGATTAAAATATCAAAAAAATGGGAGGGCCCACGTATACAATCCCCAAAGGAGCTACCCCTAGAACTGTGGCGTCCGACGTCTGCCCCACTCCACATGGAAGCAAGGTGGATGTCAGACCCCACAGTTCTTGGGGTAGGAAGGAGCAAGGTGGGCATGACAAACAGTCAACGTTTGATCATTCCTCCATGGTCAAATGTTTGTAGGGGTATGATTCAACCCCAACAGTCCTCAGTTGCCAGCCAAATTCTCCTAATTGTCCGTAGTTGAAACACTTTCATCGACTCAGTCAAGGTGGAAAGATTTTCCTTATTTATATAGGCCTAGGCTTAACCGGTTCCAACCTACCCCTACCAAAATCTTGAGTGAGGGTAATCCTCAATCAGTACTTGGCACTGCATTTCATTGAACTGAAGCCCTCAGATTTACAACATGAGTCGAAGGTGTACCTGGGTGCCTTAGGCAGCTGCCAAATTGCCCATAACTGTAACCACGGTAACGTCCGTGACCGTATAGTCGAGAGGTCCCTTATTTTCCCACTAATACTTTCAAATTTATGCAAACTAATCTGACTTGACAATAAGTGGCATAATAAGGGACCCTGGTGGCTATATACTCCTGGACAACATTTGAGAATTAGTTACAGTTTTAGAGATGGGAGGAAAACCCAGGAGAATATTCTGGATAAGACCCACGAAATCAAGTAGGGACTGAAAACCCAATCTACATGTGGACCGAGCCTGGGAATCGAACCCAGGCCACAGAGGAAAGAACTACCACGCCAGCCTGACTCCCAAAAAAAATCAGTTGGGAACAGCAAAATCTTTGAAAATGACTAACCAGTTGTGTTCAGTTTGCTTGGCATATCCTGCAAATTTGAGACTTTCATCAGGAAATCTTTATGCATTCAATACAGAGGAAGAAACTTCGATTTTTTTGTGTTAGAGATTCTTGGCACTGTATGACGACTCGGAGTGTTAAAGTAGTCACAGTTGGTCTGGGCCTACAGGTGCCTTCTGTGCATTTTTTCACCAGTTTTTAATGCTGAAATGAATCCTGAATGACAGATTGTGCCAAGCATTTGTATAATTCTGAACACAACTGGATTGTTACATGTAGCTTCAAAGATTTTGGTGTTCCGAACCAATTCTGGTGGGGCTATTAAAGGAAAATCTCTCCTTTTATGTGATAGGAAAATTTTTTTAAATCTTATGATTTGTTTGCCATGCTTGTATTTCTTTTTGGGAGGCATGGTAGGCCTGAGAGGCTTTTCTTCATGGGGAGGGATAGAATAGAATAGGGGTCACCATGACACATTGTAGAGTAGGCCAAGCTGGTAGCCTAGACTTATTGGGTGGATCAGTCAAGGTCAGTGTATGTAAAGTCAACCAATCTTTGAGTGAACAGGCAATTATACCATGATCAGCTGATTGCCTTTCCTTGCTTTTGCAGCTGTCAAAGATTGTTTCAAAGAGGAAAGCTCATTTGGAGATTTCAGTCGGGATCAAGCTGATTGACCAGTTGTGCAGAGCAATTGGATGATCGTGCAGATTGGCTAATCGAGGTCTATCTAAAAAATTAACCATCATCAATCAGCATGTGCAGTTTAGGAATTCAGTCTTTTGAAGAGTTACAATCATGCAAAGTTCTTTTCAGTCTGGAAAACAGATTCTCTAAAATGCTTAATTTTTACAGTGGTATAAATAGAAGTCAACTGTATTATATTTTGTAAACTTTTTGGCGTCACTGTACATTGTCTTCCCATGTGAATGTTTCTTTAACAGGAAGAAGTTTATTGATGACTACACAGCACTACAGGACAGGTTACGAACTCTGCCAGACAAAGTCACCCACAACATTATGGTAATTTTACTTCAGGCTTATGCATGCCGCAGGTTTGTTTGTGAGTTACTCCCGTGTTCCGATACCTACCCCATAAGACTCATCAAACTTCCTGTCTGAAAACACTTGGCAGAAGCAGGGTCCCCTCTTCTGGAAGATTTATATTCAAGAATACAAACACCATTTTATAACACAGTAATTATACGGGTCATCAAGGATCAGATGAACCCTCTTGCCTTCATGCATCCTTCTTGCTCAAGTACCAGGAGGTGATGCCTGGAATGCAGTATACCAACGTTGCACTTGAGGAGAAAGGCAGTTGATGTTTTGGGGGGCAGTTGATTCATTTGTGTTTGATGTTTGTCAGAAGAAGTGCCACATGTCGCTGGACGCTCCACAAGAAAATACAGGAACATGAATGGCCTGAAGTCTTCTTTGTTCCCTTCGGAAACAAGAGACACAAGAAACCGTTTTGATTTTGGGGAAATGCCTTTGCATGTGTACTTGCATGTGTTGGGTGCGATTATCCAATCTGCATGATGACCTGACCAACCCTGTATGAAGTCTCCAACTTAACTTCCCTTTCTTGAAACAATATACAGTATCTTAAAAAGAAAAAGGTGATTGACTGATGGTGGAAATACTGACAGATTGTGCAGTAAGATCGACTGATGGGACTGGGATCGGGCGATCACACATATCAACCGATTGCATCCAACATATATGCACTGTATATAGTGTAACCACATCTGCAATCCATACCTCCTTGCTGTTACCCACCCTCAGAAAAAACTTCTGAAAGAGATCTCAGTGGTTGCTGAGATTGAACTGTCAAATGTTCACTTCAAATTATTTTCTCTCTGTTGTTTATGCAGGTGCCTTTTGGACCAGTTGCTTTCATTCCAGGTCATATTGTCCACACCAATGAAATCATGGTCCTCCTTGGAGACAACTGGTTTGCGGAACGATCAGCCAAACAAGCTTGTGAAATAATCGACAGAAGGAAAGACCGTAAGAATACTTCAGAGTTCTCTACCTGTGGAGAAATCTGTTCTGTGAAAAATTTCACGGGTAGTGGATTTTAACAGATGAAAATGTCACGCTATTAAAGATCCGTGTCTACAGCAGTAATTGTCTGGATGTTTTTGCGTGTTTTAACTGGCAGTTGGGAAAAATCAAACATTAAAATTTGTCCAAAGAGAAAAAGATCTACATGTACATGGAGCGGAGTGGAAACAATTCCTTTGCTTTTTAATACATTTTCCCAGATTTGAAAAGTATGCTGTCAGACCTAGCCAAGCAGCGTCATCTGCTGGAGTCTAGGCTAGGCTTTACGTCAGAGCTGAAGGACATGAGCGAGAACAAGGGTGACCTGGTCGACATCAGAGAGGAGTATGACCCTGAGAAAGAGGCCAAGTGGAGAGGTATGATGAGATCACTTCTCATGTCTAGGTTCATTTCCCGTGTTAATTGGCGTCAGGTTCCATCTTGATGATAAACCCAAGGCCGTCAGGTTCCATCTCGATGGTGTTAAACCCAAGACAGTAGTTCAGTATTGAAGTATGCGTCGTATTGGGAAGCTGCAGTGGACTTTGCAGAGTGATTTGCAGTTTGTCCTAGCATGCAAAAGAAGTCGTTACTATTCCTTGAGTCTGAAGACACTGATCAAGAAATTCCTCCAAATCAGTGACATAGCAGTTTGCATGACTCCCATATTTGCAAGAACATGTGTGCAAGGTTCATTCATGCAGTATGGCAAGGGGAGTGGAGCAAGAAACAGGTTAGCCCAAGCCAAGGTTAAAGGCTACTACTAAGAAGTACGATGTGTACACCTGCGGCCCACGTGACATGGCAATGCAGACATGGCCGATGTGAAAATTGTCGTTGCCGTTTTCACGAAGAGACACTTTGGCCCCAAATCATGATTTTTTTTTTCTAACTTTCTGTTTTTTGGCAAAATCAAGTAGGCTATGCAGTGACAACACTTTGGTGTAATCATTTTCACCAAATCTACTGAAATCAGCCAAATCATGATGATCTATATTTACCTGGGGCAAAATTCAACTATACCACAAAGAGGCGTATTTGTGTTCCATAGATATAGCGTTAGTAATAAAGGGCAAAATTATGGGCAAGCTTGTTTTCCACATTGTCACTCTGGAAATCTGTACAAATGTAACAATTTTGTACCTGGAATAGACATGAATAGACAGGAGTCACACGAGTTTAAGCATTTTTACGAATAGACAAACGTGTTTGTTTACAAAATGAACACTTTTAATTGACTTCTAAAGATACCATTTTGTAGTTTTGTGTCATTTAAACTCTGCTTTTTTATGCAGTGGCATATGTCAAGTTAAAGGCATGTTACACCAGGGAAATAAGTGTTTGAAAAAGAGACCAACTTCAAATGTGATTTTCTCAAAACATAGGTTTTACTCTCTGGTGAGAATTCGCCTCTTTGTGAAAACGGTGATGATTTATAACTGTAGTTGACGCCTGGTTTTGCTCTGACGTTGAATCATAGTTTAGTGTTTGATATTGGTAGGAGATTTGTAATTTGTAGAAATTTTGATTCCTTTTTTTTTGTTATAAGTGATTTCACTCCTTTCTGGTAACAGAAGAGCGTAAGAAAAAAAGGAGAGATGCTGCAGCATTGAGCAGGCAAAGGAAGTCTCAAGGAGAAAGTGACCCATCCTCCCGAGAGGCATCCCTGGAGGCTCTGCCCATCCAAAGAGATGATGCACAGAGTGAATTGCAGAGCCAAACCTCATCAGGGGGTTCTAGTCTTGGACAGGTGACAGAGGGAGGCGAAGGAGCTGCGGGAAGCAAGCACAGGGATCCTGAGATGACGGAAGAAGAGATTTGGGCAAGTGGAGTCCGGGGGTTCATGACTGAGGAGGAACTGTGGGCAAGGCTCGATGAGCTGGAACAACAAGAGGAAGAATTGGATGAGCTGGCATTGTGAGTACGCGTATATCTAAGGCCGAGCAGTTGCACCTTGATAAACCTAATAAAAGATAATGACGTCACACACTGTTTACATGTGCGCTTTCCTTCAGGAGTATGATGGATCGCACCCCATCTCACTGCCATGGGAAAGCATACTTGTTAACAAAGCGTGACTTCATTATGTTATAGGTCTATAGGAGTCACAATAAACTCGGCTCACAGCCTATTGCAGGTACCATGTACATTTGTAAATGTATACTTCTGCAATGAGCCAGTTCAGTGTTTCAGCAAGGTCATTCAAGAACCAAGGAGTGCAAATCCGTTCACGGCCATGTTGGTGATAGGGCAGACCTAATGCATGCATATTGCTATTCCTGAACGACCTTGGATATGCTTCCTTTTGAACGTGTGCTGTAGGAATACTTAACTGCTCATTAAACCTGATTTTGATGACTGATCTTCTGAACAATCTCATTCAGAAGCTGTCATTTTCCGATGCTGTTTCTTATAGAATGTCGGATGGTGAAGAGGACCAGACTAACGACAGTACTGATGAGCAGCATCCCCGTGTCAATCAGGGAAGACATGTGCGATGGTGCGATGAAGGTAACTCCGACAACGAAGAAAATGAAAGTGACTCGCAAGGCAAACCACCGACGATCACCTTCAAGCACACGCAAGAACCAGATGCTGATGACAAGGTGAGTACGCATGTATTGTTGACCTTTTGCCCCTTATTTTGTTGTGACCCAAATTGAAAAATGTATGGCAAGATGGCTCAAAACATTGACCTTTCCTGTTTACTTTTTGCATCCCCGGTTCAAATCCATTTCAAGCCAGGAATAAACCTACAAATTTAATCTAAAATGCATTGGTTAGCTCCCCCCCAACTCATGACCCAACCCCCCCGATACCTGATCCCATCTTTCCATTGCAGAAACAAATTATAACAACTGCAAACACCAAGTAAGTCGCTTACAAAGTGACGTTGGCATGTCCCCACATTTTGGGGCCCACAGCAACTGAGTTCAATAGCTGTGCAGTCAGCATGAACAAGATTGCATACGTATGACAAGAGTTTCTTTACTTTGCGAAAATATGCAAATCCATCTATGATTGTTCAAATGAATTGTGCTCGCACGTGATGTTCTTCAAGTGTAAGCATGGCAGCTTACCTTCACTCTTTGTCATAAGCAGAAAAATCTCTACTTGTTCATGGAATCAACCTTCCAAGCATTCAGGTTTGAGATTCTTCCCCTTATTAAAATTGTATTGCAGGTCTCTTCAGAATCAGCCGCCCCACCTAACCCCACTGAAGTTTCAACAGCGGTAATGAGCCCAGCCGACATCTACAAGCAGTACACATCACTGGCTGCTCCAAGTCCAGACGGGGGAACCCCTGTCATTGTAACCACCCCTCAGCATAACCAGCCCTTGAAGTCTATCTTGAAGACTAGTGTCAAACCCACGTCAGTGAGAGCGGTAGAGAGCGAGGAAGGGACGGAAACGAAGGAGACCAAAACTCCTGTCATACTCCCAGCACCACTTTCAGTAAGCTACTGTTTGTTAAAGACAGTGTATAGAGGGATCCCAATACGACGCTTTTAGCTTCGATCTGCGCATTTCCGCGTTTGAAAACGAGGCTGTTTGTGTTAGCTTCAATTCTTAATACGATCAGACGATGGGAAGTTAGGAGTTAAGACACAAAATACATAAAGGTATGTTAAATTAAGACTTTCCAGGCTACAACTTTTAATTGAGGAGTCTTTCAGGATGACTCGACGCGTAAAATCAAAAGAAAAAATAACGGCAATTTACCGCGAGCTAACGTACCTGCGATGGTTGTGTATCTTATGCAGTGGGCATGGTTTAATCTGAAGTGGCGCCACACTTACGAACCAGATACTCCATGTACTGTGTCGACTCCGCGGGTGCGCTCGACGAAGTTCAACACAGAGAACCTCGCTTTCAATGCGGATATGCGCAGATGGAGCTAATGTGAAATCCCTCTATAGGATTTGCAAGATCACCAAAACAGGATTGTTGAATTGTCTTGAAATATCTTACTGTAAAGTAAGTGCGCAATAGTGTCAGACAATCTGTGAAAACATACCGCCAGGAATGCTGTCTTTTTTTTTGAGAAAAGAGAAATTTAATGGTTTTTCCAAAGATCATCTGGGTGGACGATATTTGGAAAATACAATTTGTTCAAATACCGCAACTGTTACCGGGCACAATGAAAATGCTTGTGAAGCATTGAGGTTTTGGAAGAGTCTACGTTAATGGGTAATATACTAACTTTGGTAAGCCTGAACTCATTATTAAGCAACAAAATAGATACATCACCGTTTCTTGATGAAATTTTGGAAGTCTACCTCACATGAATACATCATCTCACTATCATCCCTTAAGATAATAGTATGGTCCAAATGGCCATTCCTTCGGAGCTTCATACCAAAGCCTGTTTTTCTTGAACAAAGTCTCCAAATTTGAAACATTTTAGCTTTCTGTTTTTCCAATACCAGTAGCTCTCAGTCTAAAGGAGAATTTGGACTGGTTTCAAATTAAAGTTTCTTAATGAAACTTTGAAAGTTTACCTCACGTGAATATATCCTCTCGCTATGATCCGGTGGCCGTTTCTTCGGAGCTCCATACCCAAGCCTGGTTTTCTCACACAAAATATGCCATTTCGAGACATTTAGCTTTCTGTGTTCGTCAATAACAAAAACTCTCATGCCCAAAGTGTAAGGATCGTTAACATATTCAACTCTTTACAAAGTATTCATGATGGGCACTGACGGTGTGTGGGTGGTTTTGACGGACAAACATACATGTGGAGAGTGAACAATGACTGTGTGATGGATCGTGCACATGTACATACACATGTTCATTGTAAATCAATAGGAGCCCACAGCATTTTTAACCATGGAGTATCCACTTTATCAGGATGCCAAACTGAGTGATACATCAAACAAACAGCTCAATTTGCTCTCTTTCCAATACAAATGAAAACTCAAAAAGTGGCTCTGGCAACTTAAGACTCCTTTTTACAGAGTCGGTCGCACAGTGTGGTCGCACAGTGACTGGGGTGACTTCACTGCACAATGTATATCCAGCAAGAAATGAGACCGAGGGTACCCCCCGACATGTCCAATTGCTATACACACTCCAGACTATTGTTACCTAACACATCCCCCCAAGATGTCTGAAAAGAATTCCTCAGATTTCAGTGAGACAATGTTCAACACCAAGTGGGGGGGTTCTCTCCGTCTCATATCTTGCTTCATGTAGCACAGTGAAGTGTTGTTTATTTGACAAATTCTCCGTGTTGCATTGTTGAAGAGGAAACGCAAACTTGATGGTAAATTTGCTGACCACTAGTACTACACGAAGCCATGGGAAAAAATACATTCGCCTGTGCATCGTTCAAGCCTTCAAGAATGCCCTGTGGCTCATTGATTTTTTCTAGACAAATTATATGAGCTGTATTTCAGTGGTTGGAAATGAACAGCATTTTTCTCGATTTTTCTCAAAGCAGTGATCTTGAAGAATGAAACAAGTTCATGGAATGATACATAGAGTAAATCACAACCCCCCCAAATCAGCCAATTTTGACAAATTTGCAGTACATGCAAATCCTATATACTACCTTTAAAGGCAATATCGACTTTGACCTTTTAGGACATATACATAAATACCATAGACAGTTTCCCTATTCAACAACTTGCAATGTGATGGTGTATTAACATTTTGATAATGCCCACTGACATTTGATCATGCCCACTACCATTTGATAATGCCCACTGCCATTTGATCATGCCCACTGCCATTTGATCATGCCCGCTGCCATTTGAAAATGCCCACTGCCATTTGATTATGCCCACTGCCATTTGATCATGCCCGCTGCCATTTGATCATGCCCGCTGCCATTTGATCATGCCCGCTGCCATTTGATCATGCCCGCTGCCATTTGATCATGCCCACTGCCATTTGATCATGCCTGCTGTGTAAAAACGCTGGCACCTGGATACAAGACAGTTTATGCCATTCCTATTAGTCAAGAGTCTGTGTGCACTGCGGTAGACAGACCTTGCCATGCGTATGCCAAGTCCATATAAGGAGACTAATCTAGACTATTTGCACAAGGAATTTACCATAAAATGGACAGGGGTGTTCAGGGAAATGGAAGTAAGTCTTGAACAAACTCCTTGGAAATTTATTGTATACGGATTTCTTTATGACTCCCTGAACAAAATGGTATTTTTACGAAAGGGAATGTGCTTGGCCTGTCTTAAACTAACATTTAAAGACAGGCTCAGGGGAATGAACACTGATAATGCCCGAGCTGCAGTTAGAGTCACAGCTGGCCTTAAACACACATGTAAGATTGGCCAAGCACACATTTATTCCCTTATTAAATCAACAAAAAGAAGCTGAGTTTAAATGGCCTTGTGTAGTTACCAGTGTTTGTGTAGGTAGAGCTGTCAACACACTTTTTAACATCTTTTTAAAATTCCTTGTGTAACAAAGGCATTTTCAGGTCAGGTGACTGAACGACCCCGTGCCTCTGCCAGTCAAGATGCAGCTGCGACAATACCACCAGATGCAAAGGACCCCAAAGCTGCCCCGCCCAAGAGAGTGTCCCACTTTAAAGCAGCTAGGCAGCAGCGGAGGTGACAGGACAAGGACTGAAGCCGGGGAACCAGGACACAACACTCATCCCCTGACCTCATAATGAGCAATATTGAAAGGAGAATTCCTGCAGAAAGGAATGACAATGTGTGAAGCGTGTCCCCAGAAGACCTAAGCGGAGGCATATCATTGTACATGTATATCTAAATAATGCACACACCGATTTGCAGACAGGAATGGTGCAGAGCCTTGAATTACAGAGTCAGATAGCAGCTTTAGTAATTGACCTTGATATTCAAAAGTCAGCCATATTGAATTGAGAACAAGGTTAACTATTTTATTTTGGGAACTTGAGAATAAAAATGAAACTAATAAATGAAAGTTTATGGCATTAATGTCAAAGATGTTGATGAATAATTTAGAGTATGTGATAAATTATGTCCGAATGTTTTAAGCCTCATTTAAAAAAATGAAAACGAGGCATAGAATAATTAATATTTATAAAGCGCCTTTAACACAGATCAAAGTACTGTACACTATTATTACTCCTGTTCACTGGGCCATGGGCCACTGAAACATTTCAAATACCATCTCAGGTCCCTGGGGAGTATACAGCTTAATGCAGCCACTATTCGGCGCATAGCGGCTAAATCAACCATAATAACCATCTCTGCCCTCACAGGTACCCAATTACTCTTGGGTGGAGAGAGGCAATGAGTGACGAAGTGCCTTGCCTAAAGGCACATGCACCATATGACCCCAGGCTGGATTGGAACTCACCGGCCGACTACGAATCCTGACTACGAATCCGATACTCTTAACCACAAGGCCACAGCACTCCATTCAAAATAGTCTGGCACTATCCCATTAAAAGAAATTACAGTGAATAAGTTCAATTCTGGGTACCTGGTAAAAATGCCTTCCTTGTGAATAAGGTCTGTTGTTGCGTGCTTATTGTGAAGAGTATTGCAATGGGGTCTGAATCTACTGTAATGAACTACAAAGCTGCAAGAGTGTTCCCAAATGGGACATTTTGTTTACCACAAATGGTAAAAGCAGTTTAGAAATGGAAAAGAACCAAGGCAAATGGGACTTCTTTGGACTAGGGTAGCCCATACAAGCTATGAATGATACCACATACTCTGAAATATTTCTCCGAAAGACATTTAGATGCTCTAAAAGATTTAAAGAGTTTAAAAGTGAAAAAGTCAGTAACATCTAATCCAGGTTTTCCTGGCTAAATTCATAAAACTAGTCAAATTGGTATCTTTATGCCTATTTCTTTAAACAATGCAACATGGATCATCAAAATCGGAGTCCTTTGAAGGCATTCAAGCATTAAAATCCATTCTCAGACATGCATTTTTCGTAGTATTTTTCAATACAGAATTTGTCGCTCATTGTAAGGACATACAATTTTTCCAGATTTGCAAGGAATGGGTTATTCCGTTTCACTTGTTCTTTTAATATTTTGTTCATGGACAGTTTGGGATCATGCAGGCTCTGTTGCTAAGATGTTATTTCTATTTTGACAATTTACCTTTGCACTCATTCAAAGATATTTTATTGTCGCCATTAAATGTTCTGACTTTTTTCTGCTACTGGATAAAATTACATTCCTTGTAAGTTGTTATGAACTGGTATTTGGATTCAGGGCAAAAAAAACCTAATTTGCCATTTTTACATTTTCATATTAGTCCAGACATATACTTATTTGGTTACCATGTCATTAAAGCTTGCTTACTTTTTGACTAATTGACATCCTTTGTGTGTTCAGAAATATTCTGTGCTTCTTAAAGATAAAACAAGAATGCATTTGACTCCATTTTTGTGGGTTTGTGTGTTTTTAATAAACTCCAAACATAAGACAAATCACAAGATTGATGACCGACTATAAATTAAAACTCCTTCAATTAACTGATAAAATTCACAAAAAAACAATGGAAGCAAATGTTGTGTATTACCTTTAAAAATGTCATTGCACACTGCTGCCTACTTTATTATTGGAGACTTAAAGCTTCACACATAAAATCTCAAGACAACATTTTAAAACAAGGATGTTGCAATCAACACCTGACTATTTCAAAGTCAAACCTTCACACTACAAAACTGTGCACTTTGTGACTTGTGAGTGGTACTGGAGTTGGAAATTTTTATGTTTTCCAGTCAATTTCAATTCTTTCAAACTCTGCAAAGAAGGCATGGGTGTAAAGCTTAGCACTTTACTGACCACCAAATCTGAATATCCTGCTATTTTCAAGCAAACTTGAATGATTGTGATTGGTCAATCCTTGGCAACAGACTGCTCTATATACATACTTGTACATACATGTATATCCTACAAAAAATCAACATGCATTTTCTACTATTCCAAGGACGAGCATTAAATTTCTAATGTAAAACGGTTCAAGGTTGCACAATCTGCCGTGAATACAAAGCCTATGCCTGTGTAAGGTTTGCAGAAGTTCAATTAGTTACACGTGTCCCACCTGGTCTCGAAGAACACAAAATACAGAGTTTGTGTCTCACAAACCACTCAGTCTTTGGTCTCGTTAAGCACGCATATGGAACTTGGGTTTACACCATTATTCCATTTCCTGTTGTGCTTGAGGGATAAGTATGTCTGGAAGTACTGGAGTGCAAAAACACTCAAAATGGTATTTTCAATGACGAAATTTTGATAATCCTGGACAGCTCCTGACATCTTGACATTCAGCCGATAAAAAAATATTGCTGAAATGTCTTAATACTGATTGTACCCAATTTACCCTTTGTGATACACAATTTATTAGATTTAAGCACAATTAACATAACATGTAAACATGTAGTACAAATGAAGGGAAAAGTAAAAATCTTACCACAAACCAATTCTTGCCACGTCTCCAATTATATTTCTACATTTGGTGAATGTAAATTTCATAACAACGTTCCACTAAAATATTATTTTATCAATTTTTCCAACAATGGGTTGACATTTTTGCACTGTACAGAATAAAAGCTGTGCGTACACACCCAAAATGCAAGTTGGTCCAGGAAAATTTCTTTCAGTCCTTAAGGTAATGGAACTTCTGGGATCCCGGGACCCATATTTGACACAGTTGGCAGTTCTTGGGGCCACAAGGACAATGTTGATCGGAAACAATGTTTGTTATTGGATTAGCATCTGGCAAAACAGATCAGTAACATAAAGCTGATGTATGATTTTTCTAGTGATATGCCAGCGTGTCAAGCAGCAAAAAGAACTCAAATTCTGGTAAATCTTCAGGACAAAAATGCCCATTATTAAAATTTGATTATTTGTTTAAAAAAAACACAAATTTAGCACACATACTACAAAGTAACAAAAGATGATAAATTCAACCTGTCTCAAGCCACTAAAAGACCTGATAACAATGCCACGCTCTGTTAACGTGCACTTTCCTATGGAGGCTGAATGGATTGTGTCCTGCCACAGGAAAGCACCTCAGTAAACAAAGCACAACTTCATTGTTCTGGGTCTATTTTGTATGCACTGTCGGTAGATATGGGACAATATGCCTATTTATTTTCAAATTGAGCCAAAAATTTGTCCCATTCAAAGAATTTTGGGTGGTCCAACATTTTAAATGAATGGCAAGTCTGCACTTCAGTAGTGGTCACTACTACATTTTTCCCGTTTGGTCTACATCTCAAAATCTGTTGGAGTCATGTATGTGGTCCAGCAACCATTACTTTACATAGCAAAGTTTCATATTCAAATTTGTCTGTGCACACACACAGAAATTACACTCCTGGTAGACAGTACTGAGTTGTATTTAGGAGCGCACAGACAGGTTCCTGGCCATTTAGGAGCGCACAGACAGGTTCCTGGCCCTGGCCAGAAACCTGTCTGTGCGCTCCTAAATACAACTCAGTGTGCATCCTGATGCCCTGGATTGAAAAGTGGGTGACCGAAGTCCACAAAGGGCTAGTCCCTTGGATAGTCCACATGGGTGGTGCACGCTGACACAGAGGCGGCTAGCTGTGAACTGCTTGCAGCAAGCACACATCGTGACATCAGATCTAGAGGCCCCCCTTGAATGAGAAACAAAAACAGATATTGATTACCCTTGCTGAACATGTATATCATGGAGTTCCTACATGACACCCTCATCAGCCGATAATTCACATCATTGCTGCTATTAACCACTTCGCTCCTGCGTCACAACACAGAGGGCGTTCCAACGTGTTCTTGTAGGGTGATGTCTGTAAGTACATGTACATGTGGATGTACTGTACTTGTCCCCATGTTTGGGTGATTCCCATTGAGTTTGTCCACACACAGGAACTTGTACGAGTCCATAAAAGGTTGAGGGTGCGTGGCGCCCTCAAGCAGTTGTGGGCAATAGTTGGGTGCTGTACACCAAATATCGCTTTGCAACACTGTCTCATGGTATTACAAAAGCGACAAAGCCACGACAAATGTTGCACAGATCATACACAAATGACCACCAAGGGTCCACATTTGTAAAGTAAAACTCTGTAAAGGACTGTGGTTGCGGTATTTTGCCATTTAAAATGCCAAAAACAAACACGCCTCCTTGGACAGGTGCAACAAGGGATAATACCACCTGCAAGAGGTTACCGTACACTTGCTCATAATTACAAAGCCCCTTCCAGATCTTGGCAGTGCAATTTCACTGAAAGGCTGCATTCCTACAAAGACATCCCCGACTGATGTAAGTATATCTGCAAATTGTTAGTCAAACTTGAGACAATGATTTGTACATAGATGTATGGCTACTGATCCACATTCTCAGTCATAAAGGGATCACCCTCTGCTGAGCTCAGTCAGTAAAAAACGTTTACTGCATCCAGTGTTGGCAATTTCACAAGTGTGTGACCAGCCAATCCAAATGTTGTGAAATGGAACGTAGGCATACTCAAGACATCTACAAAAGTCACACGAGAGTGCCATCCACCTCTTATTGTAAGGGACACCATAATTTTTGTTACAAACTTTTTGTATAGTGCACGTGCATCCCTTGTGAATCTGTTATCCTCTGATGTTGAGGCGAACATTTTCTTTATGAGTTGGTGCTTGGATTTTAGACAAATCTTACAGGAGGACGGAAAAGAAATCAAGAAGCATTTTCCATGGTCTCAAGAAAAACAAATAAGGGTCTTCAAGTCGGAGGGAAGAATACAAAACAAATGTTTTCTAAGAAGAAAAAAAAAAAGAGGTATCCCAATACCGCCAGCGCTTGCCATCCTGGACTGAAGCTCACAACACTGAAATCATGGACTGTCATTGGTCTGACAGCAGAGCAAAAAAACACCATTTTTTGTTGCATTTATATCGGTAAATTGTTTAATAGTTGGCAGATCCAAGACTTCTCAAAATAAGAAACTTCAAGTATCAACTTAAACAACGTCTCACTGGCCTAACATCTACAACTGAATGCAAATACATTTCACGTGACACATCACCTGGAAAAAAAGACAAAGCAACGATAATGGAACAAAATGTGGAAAAATGCAGGATCTAACGCCATATTTAACCTTCACAGTACAAAAAAAGGCTCACCCCTTGGATCAATGATGACCCCACCAGCCTCTCTGATTATAACAACACCAGCAGCCATATCCCAGCAATGGATGCCATGTTCGATGTACACATCACCACCACCCCTTGCAACCTGGCATATATTCAGAGCTGCTGAGCCTAGCGACCGAATGCTGCAAACAGAATGTCAAAAGAAAAAAAAAAAAAAAAGAAGTCGATGTCTGTTCAATAACAGAACATAGGGATTTCCGGCATTTGAGTGCTTCTGAGGCAAAGACAGTAGCAGTGATTAGACTTCAAAGCTTAGTCATTGGAAAAAAGTATGCAAAAATGAGTAAATGTACAAAACCAGAATGGTATCAATAATCGTACTTATGTGTAACACCTGTGCCTCTTGATACAGGAGAATTCACAATTCTTTTAATGAGAAAATGAGCCTTACTATCAAGTTTATAATGCCCGATATATGGTTGCTAACCATACGCATGCCTTTAGTAATGGTGGCGGATCTCAGGGAATCAATCATCATGTCCGCCCATAGGTTCACGTGGCTTTGGTGTGTGACTCGCTGAGCACAGGTGATCAATTGTTTGTTTGAATGCACAGTTTCGCGTGTGCGCTGGGCAAGCGCATGAGCCCAGCTGCGTAACTTCCCATCGTCCTGTCTCCTCTTTGCCCGTGAGGGCGCACTCCAACTCGTGGCAGATGGAAGTATAAGAAGTAACCTTTGCTTTTACATCCTGGCACTTACCCATGTACTCCTTGTTGTATGAGCGAGTTGATGTTTTGCAGCTTGGTTTGTAAGTGAGCACTCACGCGACTGCTACCAATCTCAACCAGGGCCAGACACTGGCTTATGTCTGCCAACAGAGCAAAAAGTAGCAAGGCTGACCTTTGGGATCATGAATTACACTGACCGAGGGTCAAAAATTGTGATTGAGGTCTGAAGGAGTAATTGTAAAGACACAAAAAGAGATACATCTGAAATGCCACAAGCCAGAGACTGCTTATGGGGTCACTGGCTGTGATGAAAAAGACAACTAGGTACATGTATGAATGTATGGAAAGGGTACATGTAGGTTTGGAAATGTTCAATTTGTGGGGCAAATTCTTACTACAAGGATGGCATTTCAATCCGTGAGTCTGCAGAGCTCAGCTCACTAAACTCTTTCTGGAATCTTTTTTAAAGTCTCAAGGCACACGTCCATGACCAGCGCACATTGTAATGCTTTTTGTTTCTTATCGTAAGTTGAATCTTCCGGCTTCCCCTTATTGTGTATTCCCATCATTTATTTCTAACTTTTTTCAATTCTTGCTCATTTGATTTGTCAAATGTGCAACGGTGATTGGAGTTGTGTTTGCAGTCCCTGACCCACATAGTCAGTTTTCACCATTTTTATCTGCCCTGTTGATTACTGCTTCCGTCACAGCATAGCCCAACTTTCAACTTTCATGTACACGTATAATGCCAGCCCTCAACCTCGTGATTATCTGCATTTCTAATTACACATGTTAACATTTACATTTTTTTTAAATGTTACTCAGTTTTGTTCTTGTTGCTATTTGTATTTTTTGTGGAGGTCAAATAAATAATAACACTAATAAAAGCACAGCTGCTAACGACAATAGCCTCAAGGGTCAAGGGTCACTCTGGTATCTTACATGATTGAAAATTGTTGTAAAGAACACAAAAGGCTCAAACGTGTTCATACACCATGTAGAACACTACAATCTTTTCCCGACACCAGCAGATAAATAGCAGACTGTTACAAACCAGATATTACTAGCTTCCGATTGGCAGAGAGAAGGAATAATGATTATAATGATTAACATTTTCATAAAATCTCTTCCGACAAAAATACATGGGAAAGCAGTATACACAGCGGTTCCACAGAAAGTGGGCCAAGGCCTAATGCAAAAGCTCAGAGCACAAGGCCTGAAGCTTAAGCTTTGAGCGCCAGAATCCAAATCTGTCTCACCTTGCTGTCTGGAACAGCTGATTGGCTTGCCGTTGCAGAAGGCGCCACGTCCTTTTATTGCTGTGAATAACTCATCCAGTACAGGGTTGTAGATGACACCAATAATGTTCTCCTTTGCAATTGACAGCCCAATCGAAACAGCAACAAATTGAAAACTAGGGGGAAAAAAGGAAAAAAAAATCAGTGTGACAAATAATCGACTAGTCCTTGCACATGGTGCTTGCGAGTCGTTACGTGTACAAGTGCATCAGTTAAGCTCTACAATGTCTTGTTGGCTACATTCTTAGAAATCCATTTGAGTCATTCTGTTAATTCGGGGTCCAATCAAGTGACGTTTGTGTCCGCTCCATCTGACCTGTGTAATCTGNAACGGTCGTTTATAGCCGCACCAAGTAATCTTTAGGCACTACTCTAAGTTGACAGGTGACCTTCATTGACGCCCGAGTATTTCAGCCAGGCCAGCAGCCTTGTAAACAGAGCCCAGATTGTGCGGTGTTGTACAACTGTCTTTTGTTCACGAACCTGGCTTAGTGCACTGCTCACCTCTTTTCAATAGGGGCCAGATTAGCGTGATTATCACCACTTTTGAGAGTGAAAAATGACGGTAATGCCCAGCAGCCTGGTCTTTTGTTACAGGGCCCTCTTTCCTTTGTCCGAGTTCGGAGACCCCGGCCACCCATATAAACCATACGGCTCCGATCCCGAAGTCCCCGGCAGGAAGTAGTTAACATTTACATTTTTTTACATGTTACTCAGTTTTGTTCTTGTTGCTATTTGTATTTTTTGTGGAGGTCAAATAAATAATAACACTAATAAAAGCATAGCCTCAAGGGTCAAGGGTCACTCTGGTATCTTACACGATTGAAAATCGCTGTACAGAATACAAAAGGCACAAACGTGTTCATACACCATGTACAACACTACAATCTTTGCCTGACACCAGCAGATAAATGGCAGACTGTTACAAACCAGATATTACTAGCTTCCGATTGGCAGAGAGAAGGAATAATGATTATAATGATTAACATTTTCATAAAATCTCTTCCGACAAAAACTACATGGGAAAATAGTATACACAGCGGTTCCACAGAATGTGGGCCAAGGTCTGATGCAAAGGCTCAGAGCACAAGGCCTGAAGCTTAAGCTTTGAGCGCCAGAATCCAAATCTGTCTCACCTTGCTGTCTGGAACAGCTGATTGGCTTGCCGTTGCAGAAGGCGCCACGTCCTTTTATTGCTGTGAATAACTCATCCAGTACAGGGTTGTAGATGACACCAATAATGTTCTCCTTTGCAATTGACAGCCCAATCGAAACAGCAACAAATTGAAAACTAGGGGGAAAAAAGGAAAACAAAATCAGTGTGACAAATAATCGACTAGTCCTTGCACATGGTGCTTGCGAGTCGTTACGTGTACAAGTGCATCAGTTAAGCTCTACAATGTCTTGTTGGCTACATTCTTAGAAATCCATTTGAGTCATTCTGTTAATTCGGGGTCCAATCAAGTGACGTTTGTGTCCGCTCCATCTGACCTGTGTAATCTAACAAGGACATACCACAATCACTCAAATTGACTTGAAACTATTTCGTTTGCTTGGCAGATTAAGTTGCATCAATTCATCCCAACTGGAATTACAGCGCGTATTCTAAACTGACAGCGTCAGTTAAGACAGAGACACACAAGAAATTTCTAGAATGACTCATCTGGCAGACGCTAACCTACCCCCCAACCATGTGCACACCACAAGTTATTGTCAGTAAGAAATGCCCTGTGGTATATGTACATGAAATGTAATTCAGTTGATAGTACATGTAAATGTACCCGTGCAAGACATGCACACACAATGTCCCTCGCACCACAACTCTTTCCTGTGGTCACAAAGTATGACTGACATCCCTTCTCTGTTCATGCAGTTAACAAAAAACAAAAGATGGATATCCCATTGGTACGACTGATAACAACTTCCTTAACCCGAATGTCAGCCTCACACATAGCCATCTTGAGAAATGATTATTGTGCAGCGTCACAGGATAATAGGAAACTTAATTATTTTTTTCTATAAATCTGTCCGTTTACATATGGGCACTGTGCACTGTGTGGAGATGTACAGTACCTGTGCACGAAGTTTGTAGTGCCGTCTACAGGGTCTATAATCCACGTTGGGCTGTCCGTCAATTCAAAATGAGCACCAGCTGCAGTTGTCTCTTCACCTATGAAACTGACACCAAGATACCCGAGCATTATTGTCTTTTAGGTATTGTACTACATGTGCACAGGATGTGTATTCCCGAAGGCAGGATTTCCAATGAGGGTATACCCGTACGTATGTGCTTAGCTGATCTTACACTTTCATTTAAGACCAGATCAGGAGACCTGGCACTGATAAAGCCCAAGCCAAATGCGAGGGACATCATCAGTGTCCATTCTCCTGAGCCGGTCTTAAAGCATCAAGACCAGCCAAGCATATATTTCTTCCCATTGTGTCACGAAGTCAAAACACGTTTTAAAAATTATTCATCTTTTTCCAACACCCTGCTAGTCATGTTATGGTACCTTCCTCTCCCAAATAGTCTTAAACAATCTCCTTATAAGGCGATTGGCACACATGAAACATGTAATGTGTGAGTTAGAACCCTGCCAGCCAGTGCTTTATCAACTGTTAACAACCAGCCATGTGATAGGCTCTCTTCCACTAGGAACAGCTAAACTGTCTTTGGTATTTATGAGTTCTTTTAACAGGAAATACATGCAATATAAACTTGGCAAAACTCCTCATGAGGGGAAAACTACGATTTGCCAAGGCTTAGAGCAGGCAAGTCAAAGTATACAATGTCAAACGTTTCTTTCAAATTCACTGTCTTTATTTTTCTATTCAATTCATAGCAACACACACCAGTAAAGAATGATAACACATGGTACCTAAACACCCAGTCATGTTTTACTCTAGGACAGAGAACACATCACTTATTAGGCACTGCATCATTTCCTGTTGCTCCTAGGTAACTCTATGGTAAAGTAAAATGTACACTGCATGTACATACAGTATAACGAGACTGAGAGTGGTAGAAATTCTTTTTCACACTTTTTCTCTCCCTATGGGAAGTTATTTTCATTCTACAAAACATGACACTTTCCTACAATGTGAAAATGTTTTTGCACCTTCTCAAACAAGTGGGCAAACATTTTTCATGCTTTTGCACATGAGTGGAAAATATTTTCATGCCTTTGCACACAAGTGGGAAAATGTTTTCACACCTTGTTCAATACACACACTCGTGAAAGTGAACATGAATTCTTTTCACCAAATTCCCCATTCAAACTCAGAGTTAACCTTCAATTCCAATGAGCAATGTACAGGCATGAACGTGGAACAAGGTTTATCAGACCAACATTAAAAATACTGCCTTTAATGTTACCAGTGATCTGGAAATTTGCTCCGGAGGAAAGAGATGATCAATTGCTCCACCTTCTGGTCAGTCTCGGTCACGAGGTCAGCTGGGGAACTCTTCAATTCAATGCTTTTCTTGCCCTGAAAGGTGGCTCGTATCTCCTGCCAAAAAAACCCCAAAAAAGCAGTAATTCCACTTTTCATTTAGTTTTATAAACAACGGAAGCGATGGGAGTAATGACTGGCGTCATTTGACGATCATATCAGTGCTCTGAGCTTTCCAGATTCCACATGCATACTCCTTCCACTCACCCAAATCTCATGTATTATGCAAGTCGAGCTCCAAATTGGCTCTATCAGAGCTAGAACAAGAGAAGGTGTGCTTTACATAGCAATGACAGTCCTTTGGTGGCAACTCACTGTGTGCATGCCCAGGGTTATGGACATTCCACACAGAATGCAGTAAGCATGTGCAACCAGTTTCTGTTTGAATGGACAGTCTTCATGTGCACACTGTGCGCATGCACAAATCGGTTGTATAACTTCCAACAAGCCTATCTCTTCTTTGCGGGTGACGGTGCACTCCATCCAACTTCGAGTGGATAATGTGTCAAAATTTAATTTGAGATAACCTTAGGTCAACTTCTAAGAGGCAATCAAACCCTGATCTAGTGGCCTGTCACTGATACGGTATGGCATTCATGAAAGCACTTGTTACATGTAGATGTGACTCTTTGCACTGGAGTCATTTATACTACAAATGCTTCATCCCGGTGCTTATAAGGTAAAATCTACATAACCATACATGTACAATGAACATTTAACATGAAATTGGTTGAGTGATATGTATGCATCTGGTCTGAGCAGAACTGGAAATAAAGTACATACATGTACTGTACACAAGCCATTTTAAATGAAAGACATCATAAAACTATTTCTTTACCATGTTTACAATCAAACCAGGTCTGATTTGGCAGAATAAGGGAAACCTGAGAAAAGGCTCATAAATTTTACATGAACATGTATGTGTACACACGTACCTCTCCAGCTTTCTTAGCGATCTCAACGGCAGCACAAAGGTATTCCTCATACAACTCCTTCTCCCCTTGTAATTCCTCCATAGCAAGCTTTGACTAATACAGGATTTCCACAATTCTTGCAATACCTACATGTACAAGGGATATAGCTGCAAAGAAAAGCCAGACAATTCCCTATTTACCAGTGACTGGTGAAGTCAACCCGAGACAATCCAATGAGCCAGTTTGTTTGTTTTTTTAAAAGCCAAGGTCTTTCAGAAATGAAGCACGAGTGAGTCAGTGTGTGATTGCATTGGTAATTAGGCAGACTATCGTGCCTGTGCGTGGTTGTTCCCAAATAGCTTTGTAAGCATACAGAGTTAGAATATCAAACTGGCTCAGTGACTGGCTTATTGGCATGACAAGACCAGGTGTCATGACAGGAATAAGCCTTTTGCGAGTTGAATTTGAAAAAAATCTGGTATGCTGAGTTCTTTAAATTCACGTGAACATAACAATTGGAAATCTCCATACTAAAGCCATTTCTGCTATACCTTGTGATTGGAGCAAGCTTTCCCTTAGTTACATAAGAGATGCCCCGCAACAATACACTGTTCTCAATGGAAAAGAAAGGCACAAAGGAACCAGTCCATTCCAGAGATGGTGGTCGCTAAGCAAAAGCTTGCCCCGAATCACAAGGTATAGCAACAGTGTCTTTAGTCTGGGGAATTCAAGTTGTTATGTTTATGTGCAATCAGATAACAACTGTCATGACTGTGAGATCCGGCGTTTGTGGGAGCATGGAGGATGACAGACCCCACACATTTCTCAGGGTATGGGTAGCCCAGGTGGACTCCCTGACCATACTTTGTTACCATGGTTACCGAGGGAGTCGTAATGTAATGAAGACTGGCGTCCAACCTGAGCTAGGGGTGCAGTGAGTCATAGACCTTGTAGTAGTACCATCAATAAGCTATTAACGTTACGAATCCGCAAATGGTACATGCATTATGACATTATCTGGTTTGGGGACAGATTGATTTGTACCTTGCACAACTTGTACCATCAACTCAACATAACTGCACCAACTTGTACCTTTGCCGAGTCGTACCTTGGCCAACTCGTACCTCCAGTATAGACAACTCGTACCTTGCTTAGAGGTTATTATTTTTGCAGTACATATAACAATAATTTGATTCGATGTTTTTGACTACACTGCCTCCCATACACTCCGGGAGGCCGATATGCTTCAACATCGTTCATATGCGTCAGGCCTAGACAATGTTTGGTGCTTGTTAAGGTGGCATGTAGCATGCACTTCGCATCTTAACCATTGCGTTGAACGGCACTTCATTCAAAGTATATAACGTAATGTCAGTTGCAACTCCTTCATTTTAGCATGTGTCCAAAACTGTAATTATAAACGTGATTGGTGAATCCTTGTGGGAAATTGGATCCTACAAAAGCCTATAAATATCAATGGATGATTCAGAATCATCAGTTGTTTCAACTACCGGCCCTTACCAGCTATCAGCGATTCTTGCTCAAGATCAAGGTTCAAGTCAAAGATGCCTATCAAGTTCCCATGTGTGGTATTTTATAGGGGTTAGTCACACAAAAAAAACTTCATTCGCCTTTCCCCAAAGAAACCCCCAAAACAGTAGTAAAACAATGCGCTCAGCTCTGAATGTAGCTGTCCGCCTCTATCTAAAATAGGCCCGCAGTTTGAGACTTTTGTGATAGAAATAGCCCAAACTGGAAAATATCGGTCCCTAATTCGGGATTTATAGAAATATTTGTATGATCCCTCCTGATTATGGAATGTCTTATTGTAAAAACCTGGTGGGATCACAAAATATTAATGAGCTCGGAAATACATGTACGACCATTCACTTAAACCGATGGCTCGCACACGCCCATGGAAGGATGATATGCAGGAAATCATGCTGGCACTCTAACGCTCTCTGGGATATTTATATTGATATGTTTGTCCAATCTGACCCTTAATTTACATGTATATGTTTGTCAAATCTGACCCTTAAACATGTGAACGGGGAAAAATGAGAAAGTTAATTGCAAACCTGAAGGTACCGGTACGAGCAGTCTTAACTCATGGTACAAGTGGCCCAAGGTACGAGTTGCTCAAGGTATTACTCCTCGAAGTTACGAGTTGTCCAAGGTACGAGTCGTCCAAGGTACGAATGGCCAAGGTACAAGTTGGTTCGAAAGCTCTGGTTTAATCTAACATGCGTCACACCCTGGCTCTACTGAGTGGAGCATTTAGTCTTCCTCTTTTTCAATTTTGGAGGGGATATCCGATCGGTTACCGATCCCTTCCAAAATCGAAAAAGAGGAATACTATTACTAACGCTCTACTCAACCAATCCCGTCCAAAATTGAAAAAAGAGGAATACTAACGCTCCACTCAGTAGAACTAGTCACGTCCCTTATGCATGACTTGGCACTTAGCCTACTGTGAAAACCAATCCAACTTGACAAAAGGTGGTGAAATCATCCCCTCCTTCCTCCATGGTGAAATTAAGGACCCGCAGTTGGCGACTATATATACCGTCACGCACATTAGTCTAAGGACTAGGCATGATAGTGTACCTTCTCTGGGCAATGTATCGATAACTTGGGTGGTTACTTTAGTACTGCTAGCTGTGTTTTGGAGTTTGGACCCGAAACCCACGCTTAGCATGCTTGGAAAGTCCAACTACATGAAGGCCTAAATAAAGGCGAAGCCAAGTCCGACGTTTCAATTCATAGACACATAATACTTCCCAGGCCTATGTAGTAGTACTAGCGCCCTGCAGCTACCCTCTTGAACTATTCAGTTAGTTAGTGGTTTCACCGCACAAATTTTACCTTTAACTTGCTCTACAATAATTACATTTTAGCTCAGTTTGTGGTTCTGGTGCAGGTGTAGTTCAGACTCGATCGGGCACGTCGAGCCCGCCGTGTAATAAAGTCCGGCTACGCGTCCGTTTACGTTTGGTTTATTATGCTGTTCCCAACTTAACTTCCCACTGTAAAATTGCGCCCTCTCTTGGTTTCGCTCAGGGACAATCTTTTGTCTTTGGCGGCCATTTCAAAGAAAATGGCGGCGCCCAATCATGCCAATTTTCAGAACCCTGCTGCGCAGGGTAAGTAACGTTTTTTACATCCTTCATTGTCCAACGATTTAAGTCTAACCAATTTGGCACAAAATGGCCCAGTTCCTCAGTGTGCAAAGACTGCAGTACTTTCAACATGCCGTTTTATCATAAATCATGTAGCCTAGGCCTAGTGCAAATTTCAGGACGACCTAGGCCCACAACTCAACCGTCTGACCGTTTGCCAACTCGACTCGGAACAACTCAACCGTTGAGACATCTGGAGCAGTGGGACAGCTGAACAGTCTGCTTCTAATGGACAGACAACTTGACCGTCATGATCGTTGCGACAAATTGTCATTTTACCTAGGGAAAAAAATACCTGAAATTTGGCCATGTATGTAAGTAAGCCCTAGGCCTACGTGTCTTTTTATTGAGTGTCACTGTCGGTCACTTCCCCCCATTTTCACTTCACCCCATTGATTAGGATTCATTCTGTTCTTCAGTAACAGAGGTACATAGGCCTAGATGCAACAAGTGAAAACATCGACGTTTAAGTACCCAAATAACGATCGGATAATCCAACTTTCAAAGGCCAAAGCAATGATTCTGATTTCCCGACCGCCGGACTCGAGACTCTAAAATTTTTATGTTTTGTTATCGCTTTGCTAAAAACACGAGCGCAAAGTGCTGGTTCCCGCCACACTGCACCTGTGTAAGAGAATGCGTGATGGAGTGTGGCGACCAGTCTATTCGTGCCGTGGTGACCGTTCATGTACGTGATCCGTCACACAAAAAAAAAATTGATGTTTGCAATATTTCTTCACATTAATTCTTAGTGTCTTGTCAATGTGTATATTTTCTGTGTTCATCAGTTTAATTTTAGGCTGTTTTGCTCGTACTTGAAGCGAGCATGTTTCCACAAAATTTCCTGTGCGCCAAGATTTATCTGGTCGCCCGGGTAGAGCTGTCTGGATGCATTGACAATTATCAGAATGATGTGAACAGAACTGTGTGTGTTGCTTTGAAAAAACTTGAAGAAGATGAGAAATAACCCCGATGCTAGTCCAACCATGCATTAATTCATCATAATGGACTATGCAGTAGACATTAATTTAATGCCGTAGACTTCTCTATAATAACTGCATGTCGTTTGTGGAACTCTTCTCTGGACCATTTTTGAAGAGGCTTGTAACACACTCAAAACGGACGGCAAAGTGGAAATAGGGCAAAGTGGGGATGGGGCGATGTGAGGATGGGGCAAAGTGGAAATGGGGCGAAGTGACTATAAACCTTTTCATCTCAATCAATCTCCAATTGTCTCAATCATCTCCATGATTGAGACAAGTTAACTCATAACGAGTGCACTTGCTTTTTACAGTTACATCGCAACAAAACACGACCCAGACAAATTTTCCTTAACACATCAATCTGCAATCTGTGTTGGATGCTCCAAACTCCTTCATGTTCACATCTTGAATGTTCAAGATGTCTTAACGGACGACCCAGTGAGCGGTCGAGTTGTCCCACCAGTCAAGTTGTCTCAATGGTCCATTTGTTCCGAGTCAAGTTGTAAATGGTCTTGTCCAACGTCCAGCCTTGCTTACTGACATGCCTAATCACTTTGGTTGCTGTCAATGGTCAGCTGGTCGGCATGTACAGTACATGTACTGTCAAGCGATCAGCCATTTCAGCACAATCATGCCATCAGTGACATCAGTCAACCCACCTGGTAGTTTGAAATCTCAAACTTTATATCCCTCGTGATGTGAAGACTTGTAAAATTTTGAGTCGAGTGCATTGATTTTATTTCTCATGAAAAAATGTTCCCTAGTCCCGAGCCGTGGATCAGAAAGAGAAAATGAAATATCCTGCAATAAGATGTTGAATTTTAGGACTTCTTTTTTTTTGTCTCAACAGTCAATATGAGTTTGCCTGTGCACCTGACAGCAAGTGACAGTGAACAATATCCAGAAATGGTGAAGCTGCTGGAGGCTCTTTGCCAACACATCACAGACACAGGGGTCAGCAGATCAGTCCAGAAAGATCTCAGTCAGGTAAAATGGGATGGAATCATCTACATGTACCATTTTACCTGGAACTTTCCAACGCAAACTCAAATGGGATTAAATCAGACAGCCATAGACGTCACTGTAAAGAAAGAAAATGTTTTTTAGTGAGACCAGGTCAACATGGGCAATTCACATTACACTACACTACCAAGAGGTTGTCACAGAGAGGCTGTTTTTTAAGTTTACAGTCGACAAAAACTTGGTTGGCGAGCAGCAATTTGCATTAGATGGCAGCCAGTTGAGCAAATGTTTTATCGGTCAGGGCATTTCTTCCCTCAAAAAATCCACATCTTGTTTCATTAACACTAATTCTCAAAAACACCCCCCCTAATCTTAAAAACAAACAAACAAACAAACATCAGGAACAATCCAAGTTCCCCACACTGCAATCTTGCAATCTGTGTAGGACTTTTAGGACAGCTTCCTTGATGTGTCATTCTGTGTTTTGACAAGTATTGACTTGGTTTTTTAATACCGTACCTGCGATTTGTGTGAATTACTTCGCAGGCCCAGGAGTTGTTGAAGAGAGAGAAACAATCCTATCTACAGTTCCACATCCTGCACCACGACCTGAAGGAGTTCCTTATGGACCATGAGATTGCCAGCTATGACATCGCTCCAAGTTCTTCAACAGCACAGGCAAGTGTAGCATTTCTCCACACTTCCCCCCACACCCCAGTTTAACCATGGATGTACAGACAGAGCTCTCTGAAGAAACGTATGAGTTTCTAAATAATTCAGCGGTTAACGTTTTGTTCGCATGGAGGCTGTTCTCACATGACAGTGATTATCTGCTTTTTTCAAGTGATGATAATTGCCTATTTTCATCATGCATTCTCTGTAGCTGTCCTCGCCGGTTTTAAGGAAACTTGAGATGATATAAGACGTCATGACCAATGGAAAATGAAACATAGACACTCAAATGATTTAATACCTCTTCCTTGTGTTTAACCCTACATTGTTAACACTCTTCCGTTGAAGTGCTTGTACGTTTTTCTTTTCCTTTCACATCTGGTAGTTACAAGAAGCAGTCAAGCACTGCCTGTACACAGCGGAGGCGGCTGACTACCTACACCCTCACCCAGACACCTCATCGGGGGACGACCAGCCCTGCACACTGCTGGGACTGACCAGAGAGCAGCTCCAGAGAGCAAACCCTCACCACAAGGTGCCCTTTTTTGTCTCCACTCCTGTCCTTCACTGTCTACTTCTTCAAATGGTCAGGTGGATGGGGTTTGAAAAGTTGAATCTGGTATATTTTTGGTCTCTGCTGAAATCCTCATGTAGCCAGCGTGTTACTGTCAGTTTTTGCGTTCATAATCCTCTCGACCAAAGCAAGTAAATACTTGTAGATTTCTACCGACAAATTGGGTTTGAGCAAGCCCCTTCCAAGTAAAGACGCTGAACCAAACCTTAAACTGAGATCCTTGGGTAAAATGCATCTTCAAGAAATTGGAGGATGGAGGATTGTTTAATAGGGTTCGGGGAAGCATTTAAGTTGAGCTTGTCATCAGGGGTGGGTTTTAATGAACAGAACATGTCCTTCAAACGATGCCCAATAGTCACTAGTTGAAGGGGTAGTCTGCGAAAGGGGGGGGGAAAACTTAACCTCCCAAGACTGGATTTCCATGCATGAAATATAGCAGAGCAAGCAGTTCGAGCAGAGCCCTGTCGTGGGTTATTGTACTGCAGGTACATGTAGGCTTGTCGGTGATGCTTAGCATTAGGCAGACCCCAGTGTGTCGTGTTTAGAGCTTCAGAGGGAGGCTGTGTGGCTTTTCAAGGCCTTACTCTACATCTCAACTTCGTCTCTGTTAGGATTTATATAGAGCTCCACAGTTACAGAAAATGGTCAGCCAGTTACATTTCATTCACATCTGACATGTCTGCAGCAGCGTTGAAGATGTGTCAAACTGGATAAAGGTTGCAATTATTATCCCGGAAGTTTGAAAAATTCATCGGGGGGAAAAATCAGGGGATTTTTGTCATGAAATGCTGGGAACCTTGCGTGGCCTGTATGTTAAACTTTGAATGGCAAAAAAATATCTGTGTGTCAATTCCTCAGGGGCTTCCATCCCTCCAGCAGCAGCTCATTTGAATGGCAAAAAATATCTGTGTGTCAATTCCTCAGGGGCTTCCATCCCTCCAGCAGCAGCTCATTTGAATGGCAAAAAATATCTGTGTGTCAATTCCTCAGGGGCTTCCATCCCTCCAGCAGCAGCTCATTTGAATGGCAAAAAATATCTGTGTGTCAATTCCTCAGGGGCTTCCATCCCTCCAGCAGCAGCTCATTCCTCAAATTGAGGACCGACTCGGGAAAAAGTGTGAAGAACTTGCGGCCTTCCACCATTCCCAGCTGGACAGCGGTACTAGGTTCCCATCTATTATATTAGAATATAATTTGTGTTGTATAAAGTGTTGCAGTCGAGTACTTTTTTCCGAGTACCAAGTACTGCCGAGTACTTTGACTCCCGAGTACAAAGATAGGTCGAATACTTTGCCAGCCGATTACAAGTACTGGTTTCCGAGTACAAGTACTTGTACTTCCGAGTATGAGTACAAGTACTTCTTATTCAGAGTACGAGTACAAGTACGTCTAATTCAAAAGTAGTTTTATCTTAATTTAGAGACTCTAAGACCTGCCACTGTGTAAAAGAAACACTGAATGCAGATGGCATGGCTACAAGAACAAGTGATCTGGCTAGCAATGTCACGGTCACTACGCGTGCATTGCAGCAGTCGACACAACGTGCACGGCGCGGCAAAGTCTATTACATATATATTTTTGTATTTTGTACCTTATTTTAACAGCTGTGGTAAGTTAACGTCCGAGTATTTTGTAGCCCGAGTACAAGAACTGTAGTTCGAGTACAAGTACTTGGACGTACGAGTACGAATACTCTGAAAACGGTACTTGAGTAGTACTCAAGTACCGAGTACGAGTACTACAACACTGCTAAGTAGATATTTTAATGCTTTTATCTGAAAAGTGTTTGAACCCATAGTGCCTCTCAACAGGGGATGAACAATTTTTCAAAGTTGGAGGCCCGTTGTGAAACATCGAGCATCAGCACTTAATAGACCAATCCATTAAGCCCCACCCCAAAATAGGATGTGCAGGGGGAGGGGGACATGCCTCCATTCGCAAGAACGAAGGGAGTGGGCCCCCTGGCCTCCCCCCATGCCACCAGTGATAATCTCTGTAAACAGAAGTGTGTTTGCATGACAGAAATGATGCTCAAAAGTCTTCTTATGGCACTTGTGTTCTGCCCTCTGCCGATTGCAGGTTACACACTTTAAGTCCACAGGTGTGTATGGCAAATTAATTGCAGTAGCTGTCACACATCAGATTTGAAATAGGCCAAGCCACCCTATTGAGCTAAGTGTTCAAGTGTTTTTTCTCTTTCTTATAAGCCGTCAGAACACCCATGGATAACAGTACATGGGTCAAGCACAAATTACTCCTATGGACCAAAGAGGAAGGAGATGTTTTCACGATATCATCAACAGTTAATGCAGTTTTAATTAGCTGATAAGCATTGTACCGTAATTCCTTTAATATTGTAGTATAAAGCTTGCCAGAATGTACACAATATCTAACAAAAGAACAACTTCATGATTTGATTAATATTGGCAAGTAAAATTTGGCCATGGCGCAAGTACAGCCCCTTCATTATTGTTACATGTACTCAACACAAGGAGGCTGGTGGAAGTTGGTAGAGGTGCATTGTAGAAGCTGTTAAACATGTGTCTCGTCATAACTGAAATGCCTCCATACAGAGAGTGAAGGGATGGCATTTGCCAAGGCCACCAGACTACCGGACCTGCTGCGCAGCCAGCGGAGCAAACTGGAAGAGGAGAAGGGAAAACTCCGACTGGACCGTGCCCACAGGGACAGGCAGTTCTGGCAGTACTACCAGGTGGGAACCGACGCCCATGTTTGTCTGGTTGGACAAGTCAGTCTGTCAGTTACGAACAAACTTCTATGTGAATTTGGATCTTGTGATGACTGGCAACCATAGACTCCCAGGCTGTTTGGCCTTGGGGAGAGTTGACCTGTTGGATCTTGTAACTCCTGGGCAGGCAAGCCACTTTGACAAATGATGCAGTTAGATGTGTCTGGCAGGGTTTCTAGCCAAAGTAAGCCAGAAGGTTAGGGTTAATATGTAAAGAAACATGACAACCAGGCAATGAAGTCCTGAATCCTTTGATATCCAGATGATGGATCCCCGGAGCAGTTTGGGTAATTTCAAATCTTACAGAATGAGGTGGAAGTAATCAAGTAGTTGCAGTATGCAAAACAGCAGTGCTTCACCAACAGACATTTGAATTGCCGTGCTGTTTGTGCAGGCTCTGATGGACTCGCTGGGAGTGCTGGAACGGTTGATCACCAAACATCGCCTGCGTTTGCAAGCAGACAGTGACACCATCACCAGCAACTGGCTCAGCGCAAGGTGCCACGCCATGTGCCTCAAACTCAGGTGGGTCTGTGCGCGACAGCCTGGTGCCACCGGGGGTTGCCACGGATGAATCCGACCTTGTCTGAGAATCCATCTGAAAGACCTCTTTCCTGTTACCAAGATTCAATATGCAGGTGGTTCATTAACCCTAACAGTCCTCAGTCCTCCAACAGGTGACGGATTGAGGAGTGTTAGGGTTAAGATATATCTGTTGACTCTGTAAGGCCGAACTGTGAGTGGCTGTAATGGAGGCGGATATATCTTCCACCTCTTCATCCCCCATGCTCCTCATCAAAGTGCGTAATTTTCCCCATGATTTGGTTTTTAAAAATGAATGTCTTAAATTTATATGGAGTGAAGTTGTTCTGATGATTTGTAAAATCATTAGGGATCAACCGATGATCAGTTCGGACATCGGATTGGGCTGATGTTCAGCAACATTAGCAAAACATCGGATCAGCATAATTTGACCTTCCTTGCCGATGTGAGTGCTGAGGTTAACTTGAAGAAAGGAACAAACTCTGTACTCAGCTTTGGCAAACAAAAATCTCATACAAACTGTTTTTTTTTTCATTTGGTGTGATAAATGAACAGTTATACCATGGGTAAATGGATAAATGGATGGTTAAATTGATTTACACAATTTATTCTCTCGACAGTGAAGGCAAAAACTAATACTCGGCTGATGTTCTGATTAAAACATCGGACATCGGATCAGCCGGTAAAACCTACATCAGTTGATCCCTAGTGATCATTTTCACGGCCTAACCATTTGGAGTAATCGACTTTCTGAAACAGGGAAAGTCAATTCCCCTCAGACACTTCAAGCAGTTGTCTGTGTCATGCTCCAGAGAGGAAGTTTAAAAATGGTACGTTTTCTCATCATTATTCAGTCACTCATCTGTGTATTTTCAGGGTGTTTGAAGCTAGGTTGCTATGTGATACCTACACGCCGGAGGTAGTTGCTGCTCTGGAGCAAATTAAGTACGTTTATTTCTATTCTTTTCATTGCGGCTTGAGGAGATGTCGGTAGCAAATGACACAAGGGAGTGTTTCCTCAAATTGGCAATATCATTAAACACCTAAAGACTCTCTGTGATGTGAAGCCCTTTGATTTATTTATATCTTGTACTAAAAAGTAATATACAAAAGTAACTGAGCCACTAAAGCCCTGTGTCATTAATTTGGTATCTCAGTTCGTTGGGGACTGTTCACAGTAATGTTTCTAGGCCCAGTGACCTGGGATAATATCATGTGGTGTAATGCACATTGAGAGTTCATCTTACTGGGGTTGCGCTATATAAATATATCACATTATTAAAGTGTCCTGCTGTGGACTCCTCTGAGGCAGAAGTCAATGCTCATTGGAACTTCTCATGTGCATGTCTTAGAAAAACATCAAGCACACATGCATTTTGGAAGTCAAAACACCTTGTAAATTGGTTAACCTGTTACTTGTGACTGGTCTTGTGAGTGGTCTTGTGATTGGTCTTATGAGCAGTTTTATGAGCGGTTCTAGTGACTGGTCTTGTAACTGGTCTTGTGAGTGGTCTCGTGAGCAGTCTAGTGACTGGTCTTGTGAGTGGCCTTGTGAATGGTCTTGCGATTGGTCTTGTGACTGGTCTGGTGACTGGTCTTGTGACTGGTCTTGTGAGTGGTTTTGTGATTGGTCTTGTGATTGGTCTTGTGACTGGTCTAGTGACTGGTTTTGGGAATGGTTTAGTGACTGGTGTTGTGACTGGTCTTGTGAGTGGTCTTGTGACTGGTCTTGTAGCTGGTCTTGTGAGTGGTTTTGTGATTGGTCTTGTGAACTGGTCTTGTGACTGGTCTAGTAGCTGGTATTATGAGTGGTTTTGTGATTGGTCTTGTGACTGGTTTTGGGAATGGTCTAGTGACTGGTGTTGTGACTGGTCTTGTTAGTGGTCTTGTGACTGGTCTTGTGAGTGGTCTAATGACTGGTCTTGTGAGTGGTCTAATGACTGGTGTTGGGAATGGTCTAGTGACTGGTCTTCTCATGGTCAACCACATCACTTGCAGGTTGAGACTTTTGGCTTATGATACACAGAGCCATGAAGACGGTGGGCCCAGTTCTTAGTTTCCGTTTTAAAATCCACCTCGTTCCTGCAGGCATCACCTGAACCGTGCCATCCAAGAACGAGACAAGGACGTAACCAGGCTCAGCCAGGCCCTGCAGGCCTACCAGAGCATCGGCATGGGCTTTGACCAGCTGGTCCAGGAGTATGAGCAGCTCCAGGCAGCCATCGACAACAAGACATGGGCACTGACTGAGCTCAAGCAGAGTCTGGTGTCAGACACTGCCAGTGAGTGGAAGACAGACTGATGATCCATCTCTGGATACACATATATTTAACGGTACCTCAACTGGTCTCATACTTGGCTGCTATGCGGAAGATGCAACAAGTATTCAAAGCTATATAGGCTGCGAAGTCGTTTGCAGAATCCCCCCCCCAAAAAAACAGGAATGCACATCTAGGAGCTGCAGTTAAAGTGAGCTTTGGCCAAATACGTCGCTGAAATGCTAGTAATGTGTAAATA